CTGCTTTGGGAATGTGCAACGGACATGACGTATTGCAAGGGGTCGAAGTCTGGACCAGTTTGTGCCGTTCAAACATGTTCATTCCCTTTTTTGGCGGCTCACTCGGGTCTGGCGCTTCACCAGGAGATGAAGGACCTTAAGGAGGCACGCCGCTAGAGGGGGAGCGGGGAGGAAACATCGATGCATGTTGGCCCATGCAAAGGGCTTATAATTCCAGGGCTTGAATCATTACCCAAAAGAAAGGGTTCATGACCAACCATTTTTGAAGGGTCATGGAGACTCTAGGTCTAAATAGGGGTTGATTCCTTGTCCACTCTTTTCAACCATCCTTCTTTTCTCAAAAACCGATCGCCGCTTTACCTGGGATTCTGGCGGTGTTCTAGAAAGATTCGGATCCCATGGAAAGAATGGACATGGAAGGTACCCGTAAAATGTTTTAAATTTGTTGGGGAACAGTTTCGGGGAACTTGCGAGGCACGGTGGGTGACCAGAATGCAAGTATACATGGCATTCAATTACCACGAAACGATGGTAACTTAGAGTCCCCCTACTTGCACCATGGCGAGGGCATCCAGGCGTGTGTCTTTTTTGGAGGATGCCCTGTCTTTGGCGGTTCTAAAGAGAAACCAAGGGGGAAACCTCCATTTTTGTTGGGGGAGTACCCTGCTGCCCTGAATATTGCAAGCAAGCCACTAAAAAAAACTCACGATTTACCATGACTTCCATTTGCTTAAGCTCATGATCTTAAAATGTTCCCCTGTTGGTTTTAAAGGGTCGAAGAACCAAACGGAAGGAGGCATCCACCGTAGCACCTGTTGCTGTTCCCCTGGATATGCCTGGAGCCTCAAGGTACACAGTGAGAGAAGCCTTTGAACAGGCTCGCGCAAGCGAGGGTTGTACCTAGGGCCTCTGAACATAAGATTTCGCCTATCCTGCAGGGTCAAGCGGTCACTTGTTTTGGTTCATTTGGGACATTTGGACAGCAAAAACAAGTGTTCAAATGAAGGTGCAGGATGGGTCTTTCTCAAAGGGGAACCTCAGCATAGGGTCCTTCAGGGTCAGCGCGGGTCAACTCCGAAAACGTCTGCCCCTTGCCACGTTGAAGAGGAAACTGATTTGCCAGGTCTGCCGCAGGCGCCTTCTGTTGGAAGGGTAACCCAAATAAGGCACCCGAAATGCAAGAGAGAAGCCAAGCCAATTCTGAGAAGCAGCTAGACCCCGGCGAGTTGAATTGGCCCTCACCGGCGGGTTTCAGATGCTTGGGAAGGCACGCGCAAACAGGGCCCCCTTGTGACATTGTGGGTCTAGTATTTTTTTTGAGGGTACCCTTTTTTTGGTGGGGTTAAAGGGAAACCAAAGGGTCAACCATCATGTTTTTGGGTCCCCTCAAAATCGAGCGCATGCTAACTCTGAGCAGGGGGTCTATGTTAACTGGCACAACATGTCACTCAGTTGTTCCAAAGCTGACCTGAAATAAGCTTTTTCATTTCCCATGTTGGCCCATACTGTGGATGGACGAGATCCATTTTGCACCACCTAAGAAATCCTGGAATGATTCGATTCCTGTAAATACCAAACAAACAATGGTTTCAACAATGGTTTCAAAGTGGTGAGAACGGTTTTCGTCCATCGACAGTATTTAGCAGGGCTCTTTAAAAGATACATCTTGCAACCATTTGAAGCATGTTGCTTTTTCCCCCAAAAATAAAGAAATGAGCACCACCATTTACAAGTTGCAATGTTCGATCGGTGTTTTTCCTGCATCCGGATCCCTGTTTCGTGAAGCCTCGAAAGATTAACCTTTTAGTTCCAGATCCTTTGAGCACATGAGGTCAACTTTGGGGCAAGGTCGGAATTTGTGAGTCAAGGGAAAAGTTCGACCTAGACTCTCCTTCTGACCCTTTAAACATAGGGTCATTACCCAAGAGAAAGGGGTCATGACCCCATTTTTAAAGGGTCATGGAGAGTCTAGGTAAGTCTGAGTCCAGTTTAATGACTCCCAGTGACCAACCTGTCGCCTTTTCGGTCGCTCCGATAACGGGGAAGGTACCATCCGATGTTGGCATCCATACCATTGGTATCTACTCACAAACCCACCTACAAGCAGCTGGTAATATAACACATCCTGATCATTTAGGCCCTACAACTGGCTGGTATCGTCAATGGTCGCCTGCAATTGTACGACAATGGTCTTTCCCGTGTTCTTCAAGACACAAACATTGCCTCTCATGTGATTGTTGTATTTCCCTACATGAGACCCCCAGAGGCCACCCATTTATAGAGGAAACTCCTTTTGGGATTGGACCTTGTTGGATTCCATGTGAATTTGTCCTGGGATCATAATTTTGACCCTTGAAGTATCACAGTCAGAAATTGGTTGGGGGGAGACTTTGACTACCTAGACTCTCCATGACCCTTTAAAAATAGGGTCATTACCCAAAAGAAAGACTTGGGTCATGACCAACCATTTTTAAAGGGTCAGAAGGAGAGTCTAGGTACAATGAGGCCAGCTTGTAGGGGACCCATGTGTCCCAGCCTCCCTCCCCGTTCAGACCAGGCGCTGGAGATGCTCGCCACCGAGTAGACCCGATTTCTCGTGCACGGGAGCGACGGAGCTTTTTCGCGCGCGGGCGCGGAAAGAAACAAAACGAAGCATGGCGCCCTTGTGCCAGAGCGACCCGAGGGGAGTGGAACTTGAAGATGCCAACCTGAGCTCAACCTGGGCGTTGCAACTAGGACTCGGTGCCCGAAAATGGCGGATCGGGTTTCCTTGTTGCGTTTTCTTTTAGATACAAACCGAAAGGGGTCCAGCATTTGAGACAGTCTCACCTTTTGTTTGTTCGACTTCCTTTCCCGTTGTGAGTCCAACAAAGCAGGTCAAGACTTGAAGAGGGGCGTACAGTGTCGGCGCGAAGAGTTCTCAGCATCCTTCTCCAAGTGACGAGTCAAAAGTGGGTTTCGCGAAGGCAAAACCGGTGCAACTGACCAGCTTGACTTGGTGATTTGGATTGCGATAGCTTGGAATCCCTGAAACTTGCAGAGTGATACCTCCCCCGATTCAGTGCACTCATTTGCTGTGAGGTCACTTTCAGCTTGCCCCCAATTCTCCAATGACCAACCTCTTTTGTGGGGTATGAATGGAAAGACCTGGTTCATGGTAAGCACCTCTCTCTTTAGTCAGAGGTCGACATCCTACCCTAAATTGGATATTTGGAGTAGTCAGTGACAACTCCCAACTTGGTGTGCGACCTGAGGGCCACTTGGGTGTTCGATGCCCCCAGTTGGTAAGTGGCTAGCCACATGGGGGTTTTCACCCCCCCAATAAGAAGGTGCACCCCATTTAGGGGGGCTTATAACTGAGTAACCCATGGCAACTGACAGGGGGTCCCTTCAAAAGGAATCTAATCTGCCAGGTACCTCCCCACAGGTGCCATGTTAGTTGGAGGAAGCGTATAGCCTAGTGTACCAATAGCTTTGCAACTTGGCCGAACTCTCAAAGGAACCTTTCGAGACCCGAAGGATCCCTTCAGCCCTTGTTGGACAAAGCTATCCGAAGCACAAGTCCTAGACTTTTCCTTTTATCCTTCGCAGTATTATTAAAATACCTGAGGTCTTCTGACCCTGTGAGCATGGTTGGTCATGTCCCCCCCCCCAAAAAAAAAAGGGGCCATGAGTCATTGACCCCATTTTGAAAGGGTCATGGAGATTTCAGGTGGATGTTCAATGGTCATGGATCGTTCGACAGCAAAGGCACTTGGGCAGGTTGCCGTCAGAGTCATAGTTGCCAAGTATTGATGACATGGCCATTGGGGACCATTTTTGTTGCTGCAATTGTGCTTGTCATGACAGTTATTTTGCAGCGCCATTGCGCAAAATGTGCCAGCTAGGGGGATTTGTGTGTGTGTGTGTGTGTTATTTCATGTCCTTTCTCAGCTTTTGTTTGCCTGCGACAAGCCATGGCAAAGCTCCCGGATTTCCATTCTCCAACCAGCGACGCGAGCCCCGCGCGAGCCCCTTTAGTCACTTGCAGCGGCGCTTTGAACCTCATAGGCCCCGTCCGACAGTTTGTTTGGGGCCCCGAATCCGCAACTCATTTCGAGACCATCGTTCAACAAAGCAAGGCAGCTTGTGATACCAGCCTGGCTTTAAATATTAATAATAATAATACTCATCATAAGCATAAACACAATAATGATAATGCCCGGCTCATAAAAACAAAAACAAGTAAATATAATAACAATAATAATGATAGTAATAATAATGATCATAACATCAATAATAATAGTAATAACAATAAATAGACCCCCCTCTCGGACCCTTTGCCACCTATCCGGTCATCTCCCGGCGCTATTCGCCTCTGGCGGCATGACGCTGGAACAGGCATGGAGGGAGGAAGGGGATGATTCGGCTGCATCTATAGGGGCGATCGACTTACCTGGAGTCTCCATCTAGCCCTTTGATACCCTTTGAAGAAGCGGTCATGTCCTTTTTTGTTGGGGTAGGTGCCCCACACATTTTGAAGGGTGGAGACTCGAGGTATACAATTGCTGATGTGCCCTTCACCCAACTTTTGGGGGGAGATTCGGTTCCCCTACTAAAATAGACGTTCACAAGAAAAAAAGGTGGGCACCAACTTCTAGCCTCTCAAATCTGGAGGAGCCTCGTGGTTCCTGAGACCGGAAATTATAAAGCAGGCGACTTTCGGCGACTGGCGGCCCGGCCTGGCGGCCCGGTGTGCCCTCGTCTCCTTACCCCTAGAAACGCCAGGGAGCCGTTGATGAAATCCAGGTACCTGGAGTGTCCTTCCGACCCCTAGAAAAAGAATTGGCCCAGTCATGACCCGAACCTTTCTTTTGGGCAATGACCAACCAATTGTTTGAGGGTCATGGAGAGTCTAGGTGGATCAGAAACCCAGTTGCAAGGGTCAGAGGGCGACTGAGGCTTCACTGGCGTCTCCGACGCGAAGCGAAACATTTTTTTGGGATGATCTTCCCGGTTCGATGGATGTGTTTGAATTGCTACGTGTCAAAGTACTCGGCCCAACAAATTGGGATTTTGCAAAGTTTCCCTTTCAATCCGCCCCCTTTAAGGGGTACCCTCCAAAAAAAAAATGTTGGGGTCCTGACTTGGAATGGTCAACCAGAGCTCTCGGCTTTTTACAGCCACCTCTGCAAGGCCCAAGGTCGCCTTAAAGGGGGGTCGAAATACCATGCGGCCCATGAAAGAAGCCTGGAAACCCGGCCTGCTCAAGTTTTCAAAACGAGTTCAGACCCCATGAGGGGAGTAATGTTAACCCCGGATTAATAAACCCCTGCTTGATTAATAGGGGGGTGTCCCCTTTTAGTGGGGATTCAGACCACTTTTGGAGGGAACACCCCCCTAGTGGGACGGGTTCTACTTAGATCCTGGGTCAACATGAAGCTGTTGCCCTCCCTCGGCTCTCGAAACCTGAGCCTTAGGCGCCAGGATCCGGCCCTGGGGCTCTCAGAAAGGACCCAAGTGGACTGCTATTGGGCGGATCTTTACCTCTCCAGGGCCCTTAAAAAATGGGCCGGGTCATTGCCCCAAAATTCAGGGGTCAAATGGGCCCTTTTTCTAGACTGTTTTTCTAGGGGTCAAGGAGACTCTAGGTGGACTTAACAACTTGTTGGTTGGAACAAAGGGTGTTTTCCACTAAACCCCCTCCAACAAGTGAGTTGAGCTTTTTGCAGGGGGGGTCCTTGCAGCAACCAACCCAAGGACCCAAGAGCTTTGCGTTCGCTCTTCCGTTCATGGCCTCGACGCTTTTTGGCGCGACCCCCCTAGCGGTGCACTAGCTGTCCACCGAGGAAGTGAGTTCGGCTGACCTAGCGATCCACTCAGGAACTGACTTCAGCTCATTTTTAAAACCCTACGCCACGTTTTGGTTTGAGGGTGGTTCCCACGGGTGCCTGGAGTCTCCTTCTGACCCTTCAAGATTGGGGGGGCATGTTTTAAAGGGTCAGAATCGGAGACATCGGAGACTCCAGACGCAGCTAGACTCTCCACGACCCTTTGAAAATGGTTTGTCACTACCCAAAAGAAAGATTCGGGTCATGACCCACAATTTTTTATGGGTCAGAAGGAGACTCCAGACGAAAATGGGATCATTGCCTAAAAGAAAGGGGTCATGACCAACCCGTTTTTATGGGTCAGATTCGCAGACTCCAGACGTAGACCTCTCACCCCCCGCTTTTTCCGCGCCGAAAAACGGCCGCTCCCCAAGCGGGACGGATGACTCCAACGGAGGTGGAGCTCAAGAGCTGGACGGCGCAGCGCATCGGCGAGCTCACGCAGGCCTTTTGGGAGAGCTGAAAGCGGCGACACCTGCCTGACTCCTGACGGGTTTTGGTTGATCACTCGGGGTTTCTCCAACCACTTCTCTTCCCCCCTTTTTTTGAGCTTTTTGTTTGTTTGTTTTCCACTAACCAGGCAAAACATATGTTTTTTTGCTGGGGTCCTAATTCCAGCCTAGTTCTGAAGCTGAGGTCATTCTTTCGATGCCGTTTCTGGGGGTTATCAAAGTCACAATCAGACCGGGGGGGGGGGGTTTCCCTTTAAGCTACCATTTGGGGGGGGTGACTTTGATACTGGCCGAGGAAGGGAACGGTACCCTCCCGTCCCACGTTGCTAGGGAACCTGACTTAGGGGTGCTGCTTTAGGAGGGTACTGCCCTAAGCATCGGCAAGGACCCTCCATCGGTTTTGATTTGGACCGAAAAAACGAAACATAGCGAAACCTTTTTTGAGGCTCGAAGATTCTCCGCGTGTAGGAATCAAAGGCTGAATGTAGATGTCCTTTTGTCAACCCCTGGTATGAACCCTTAAATTATGGCTAAATTCACCGTTCGTTATGGCTCACGAATTGTGGGAAATCAGCCCCAGGGTCCAAACTAGCCACGGGTTCTTGCAATCAGCCTTTGAAGAGAATCGGTTCAGCTTTCTTTTGTTTCCCTATGTGTTTTCGCTTTTGGTGGGTAGCAGATGGAGAAGGGAAGTGCTGAAAGTACACCCTTATAAGGACTATCATGAGTTTAGTGTTGGTTTAGTATTGGGCCAATTAAATTTAGTAGGAGCGGGTCCGGGGCAGGTTCGGTTTTTGAATTTTGGCTAGGGAACATATAAATTTCGACGGGTGGATTTGAGAGTTGGGGGAGCGGATTACCACTTGGCTAACTTGGTGTCTTTACATCTAGGTCCATGGTTTCCCCTGTACTTGCCTTGATTCCGATAAGAAATGTCCTCAACCCCCGAACCGTGGAATCAACCCCACTAAACATGCTTTGTTGCAGCTAGACTTCTCTCATGTTTGCTGTGTCCGAAAGAAGGGGACCCTCGGGTGACCCACCAAGCAAGTGGTTCTCAAACTAGGGATCCTAGGGGACTTTCCAGGGATCCGAATTTCTTTTCAGGAAACCATCGAAAACCCAGGTTGGACACAGATCCGGTTTTTGAAAAGAATGGCTGAAGGAACCCCTAGAATCCTGGAAGGCTCTGTCTTTCGAGATCAGCACACTTCCAGATTGTGACTTGAGCCAGCCACGGGACACAAGGGACACCCCCAGAGGGTCTCTTGGTACCTTTTAAGGAGGTTCAAAAGTCATCCTATGAGGTACTTGGACCCTCTGCGACCCGGAAAATGACCCAAACTGGAACAGGCTTTGCCAGTTGGTTTCCCTTTAAAGCAGGGTTGTGGGATCAAGAGTTTATCCCCACTTCCGTGATTCAGATTCCCCTCCTCCTTTATATGGGGGGTTAATTTTTGGGAAGCCAAGCTCTGTGTATCACAGATTCGTGGATTCCCTTTCAACCACAGCCCTGAATCACTGGGAACTGCGATCAGGGTCCAACTTTTTGACCCCAAGATGGACTTCAACCCAGGGGTTCTCCTTTTGGTGGCAATGAACCACCCCTGGGTTTCTTCGTCCCCACAGTCCTGCTTTAAACTTGACTGCTATTGGGTTGGATCTTTAGACTTTAACCTTTTGGGAAATAAAGGGGTTTTCCACTGAATCCCCGAAAAGTTAAACTTTTTGCAGGGGGGTCAAGAGCACTCAAGTAAAGAAGACCTCAAAGAAGTGACCGCCCGGGCTTCTTTGCGGCTTTCGATTGCCAGACACGAGAGTCGGACTGCCTAGAGATCGCCGAGTGCATTTTGGGCTTCGACGACCCTGCGGTGCTCAAGGCGGGGATCCATGCCCATCCAACCTCGCATGAGTCCCTTGTCAGCTTGGCTTAAAGGGAAACCAACAAGAAGACAGCCATGAAAAGGTGTCCCCCTAGTTTTACACAGACCCATATTCCCCTTTCCAGTAATGTTAAACATCACCTTTGGGTAAATTGTGTGAAAGTAAGCGTCCTTTTGGTTGGGTGATGTTTAGGGAGCCCCTGAAAAATATGGAGCAGTATACCAATTCGAGGAATCCTCGTCAATGAGTCATTTCCCAACCAAAAGGCAACACCCAGATCAGTCCGAATTAACCCGAAGTTTGCACTACGCTTCCGCGGGACAAAAAGGTATTAGGATGCCCCCTGTGAGTCGTTTACAACACTCCAAGCAGTTAGGGCCAAGGGTAAGGACAGCTTGAGTCTTAAAGCATACTGGTCTGTCTCAAGTTAGTGAACCCCCTGAAGGGTTGGTTTCTCTTTTGGTGTCCCTTTAAAGCAACCTGAAAAGGGTACCCCTCAAAAACACAGACGCCCACAACGGCGGTTTAAGCTACCTCCTTTTGCGGGTTGACTTCAAAGTGTTTGAGGAAGATTGTAAACAGCACGAGCCAGGGTACCCCGTTAGTTGTGAAGGAATCTACCACTGCATTTGTTTCTCGGGGACTTAGGCAAACGGAAGGTAGCATGTTCCCTGTCATCAGGGACTTTCCTTGCAGTGGTTCAACACCCAGAGGGTCCCTTGCTACCTTCTAAGTATTGAACGACCCCTTTCTTTTTACCTCTCAAAAGCCATCATGAGGTACCAAGGGATTTTTTTGGGCCGGTGTTTGCGTGTTTTCCCTCACTTCCTGAGTTGGTGGACTTTAAACTTTTTGGAAAGACCATTTTAGTGGTAAATCAAAAGTTCGGACTTTTGTTGGCCAGTCAACTTGGGAAGCGAGAACTTTGGGCTTCCGTGTTTCCGTGTTTGTCCTGCTTGTTGGGGCTGTGGGGGGGGGTCCCTTCAGCCGAGGAGGGTGGTTCAGAGGGAACCCAAGAACCCTCTAGCCACGGGGTCCTCCCCCAAGCAGAACCAAGTTTCCAGACTCTCCGGTCATGACCCGAATCAAAAATGGGCTGGGTCATGACCCTTTTCTGTTGAATGATCCCATTTTCAAGGGTCAAAAGGAGAGGTACCAACAGAGCGCCCAGGCCCACAGGAGGCTTGGGAGGATGGGTTCAGTACTGGGAACCCTGGAAAAAACGTTCACTCCTTGGGGATCCTTGCCGTTTCGGACTTGATCTGGTCACGTTTTTGGGGTTTGGTGGCCATTTTTTAGGGTTGCTTAGACACAAAGTTCAGGGACTGTTTGTGGGCCAATCCACTGAGGATGTGAGTTAACGATTCGCTGGCTGAGTATCAACGACCTGGTTGATTAGAGGTTCTGCACTTAGGGTAAGTTGTGCCTTCTTTGGAATCCCCAAACCCCGCAGGACATTGGTAAACAGTTTCCTTTCCCCTTTTTTAAGGAGCCGCAGGGTCTTTGGACAACCTTGGCATTTTTGCCAAATTCAGATGATGCATCAAATATTGTAGCTTTGGGGGTATCGACCAAGGTTGAGGTCTAGAGTTAAATGTTCAGGTTTGCCTTTGGAACTCTTAGGGAAGATGAATAGCTAGGTCTACCAGTAGTGCCCTTTTACCCTTTTTTGGCGAACCAAAATGGACACGGAAAACAGGGTACTTTTATTCTAACCTCTCTACTGGAGGACCTAGTCTAGGGATGATTGGACAAGTTCAGGTCTGCCATTTGACCCTCCTTGGGAAGCAAGCCCAGGTGATACCGTGGATGGACGAAATCCATTTCGCACCACCTAAGAAACCTTGGGAATGATTTGCTTCCCCCTGTAAAAAACCAAACAAACAAACAAAAATCCCTTGTTATTCCCCTGTAAAAAACCAACAAACGTTGTGGTTTTTTCCCTTGTTTCTTGGGCGGTGCGAAATGGATTTCGCAACCATCCACATGCCCGGAGCCGCCCCGGAACGCCCCAAAACCTCTGGCCTATCGACCCAGGGGCCTATCGACCTAGGTCCCCCAGCGACAGCTGCCCACTTTTTTGGGTTGGGAGATGCGGCTCCCCTACTAAAATAGACCAAAAAAGGGAGAAAGTTGGTAGCCTTGTTCTACTCTACTAGAAAGCTCCAGGAGAATCAGGACCTCTGTGGATTTGCATGGAACCTAAGAAAGCTCCAGGAGAATCAGGACCTCAAGCTCTCAAGCAACTGTTGATCTGCTTTGCTGAAGGATTTTCTCAAGGCCAAAAGGGATTGAAGCGCTTGGCAACCCGTCGGGAGGTGCGTCCCTATTTCAGTTCAACGCAGTTGAAAATCCATGGCTATGAAACCATAGTGTTTCTATCGATTTACGGTTGGGGATTCAGGGGATTCCTTTGGGTTTCTTAGGTGGTGCAGGATTTTGCCCATGGACTAGAATCATTCCGTTGTTTTTGTTGGTTCTATGCCTGGGCTTTGCCAGCCTAAGGCTTTCTCCGGCCTTATTTGTTTGTTTCCCTTGCACAAAGCGGCTTATTTAAGACATGGGGGCCCAAGGGTAAAACAACCCTGTTTGATGACCAGGGTGTTGCAGTCAAGATGTTTGTCCAGATTGTTCTAGTTATGTAAAATTCCGGAATCTCTGGGATAGCCTCAGGCCATTCGTTGAAGCTCCCAGCAGGCCACAAGAGAGAGAAACCAAGTTGCTGCTCGCTCCATTACAGCGCACAGCGCGCCTTCAGAGATCAAACTATGGACCTTGAAGGGGGGCTAAAGGGGGCGGGGGGCTATCCCTGGAGCCTAGGATAGGACAAGTTGATCAGCTGCTAAGGCCGCGGCTTTAGTACAGAGTTGATAAGGCTTATAGCCCCCCCTATTCCCCCGTCCCCCGGTTTGCCCCCCTGAACGGGGTCCAGTTGTGCCCTTCTACAGCAGCAAGCTGCGAGTCAGGCAAGGGACAAGGTCGGGTGGGTTAGGGAACAAGCGGTCAGGGAGGTCAGTGATGATTTGAGGCTACAAGCAGCGCAGTTGGCTTCACAAGCACAACAAGCAGTTGCCACGGGACTTGCCGGACAGTGCCGCGGTGCCGCTGAAGCGCGATTCGCTCGCTGGCATGGCGGCTGTGTTGATGGCGCATGGGTCAGGGGTGTAATCCCAGGCGGTAGCAGGAACACCCCTGGATAGATTTCCCGTTCTGAGTGTTTGAAACATCACCTTTTTGGCGTATTTAAGATGGGTGCAGGATGCAGGAGTACCAGCTCTGGAAATGAACTCCCGCCTGCAAGCCATCCTCAATAATTCGGGGGGACGTTGGAGAAGCAAGAGCTAATATCAAGGATCATCTTCTTCGCGTCCCGGCATCGAGTACCCACTGCCTCCATTTGCTTAAGAATATTTGTTATTTTCGCTTGTTGGTTTTAAAAGGAATCTGTCACTGGAAATTATTTCATTTTTTTGGGGGGGGGCTCAAGCAAATGGAAGTCTGGAAACGTTGTTTTCGGCTCTTTGCTTCAGACCGGTGAAAGAATTCCACATCCGCTGGGCGTCATGGCTCAGCGGCCTTTCGCCTCAAGGACTGGCTAAAGGACTTCACGGAGAAGAGCGCAGAGTACCAGGCGTGGATGGGCGAGCGTTTCCCAGAGGGTCCCTTGGTACCTCATGAGGATGGCTTTTGGGGGGTAAAAAGGGGTCTTTCAGTGCCTCCTTAGAAGGTACCAAGGGACCCTCTAGGTTTACTTTCTGCTTCGATAGGGAATGAGAATTGGAACCCCGAGAAGAAACAAATCTCGTTTGTGGCCTGAAGGGCTAGGATGGCTTGTCCTGGCCCCCCCCCCCATAGACCTTTGAGGGGTAGTCGGGAGACCTGCCCTTGGGGGGGGTTACAGTCACACACACACACACACCCAGCTGCGCGGGACTGTTCTGTCCGTGTTTTGGGGGGGGGGAAGCTTCCTAGTGAATCAGCCAATGAAGACCTATCGCTCCTGTTGTTGAAGGTGAAATAAAGCATGCAGATTGACAAGGCGTAAATTCATTGCAAGCGTATAGTGTTCTCTCTTCCCGAGTTCAACTTTCAACTCTTTCGGAAGATCATTTTAGTGGCAAACAAAGGTCCGGACTTTTTTTGGCCAGTCCACTCAGGAAGTGTGGGCTACCATTTCTCACTTCCTGAGTTCATGAACTTGAAACTGTTTGGGAAGACCATTTTAGTGGCAAATATAAAGTTTGGACTTCTTTTGGGCCATCCACTCAGCAAGTGAGATTTGTCCCTCCATTGATCACCCCCAACGGTCCTGGAGATGTGTCGAGGCGCACGTTTTGGACTGTGCTTGCCCCAGTCGCCCTACGACCGCCGCTCAAACCGCCTAGCTTAGGTTTAGGCAACACAAGTTGCCACGTGGGCAAATATTAGCAACTTCGCTTCATTGTCAGACTTTTTCAGGGACCTTTTTGACTTTTGCCGTCTCTTTGCATTTTCTCCATTCTCTGTTTCAACAAGCAGACAAATCAGTTGCTGCAGAGGGTTAAGTCCATGGCCAAATCTTGGGCTCCTTTGCAGGCAAATGGTTTTCATCCACCATCCTGGAGGATAGCGGGCCCGGTGATTCCATTTCCCTCCCTGGCTTGCCACCCTTGAGATTGCAAGAGGAAGGTTGATGGTTACCCAATATCATGGTCGTTGTTGGGATACATTTTTCACATGTTTGCTTATTGTGGTTTAGTGGTTGAAATCCAACTCCACTGAACTGCTAAAATTTGTTTGAATTGTTGCTCCCCAAACCCAACGTCAACCAAGATATGGCACAAGCAACGTCTGGGAGCCATTGGAGTCTTTGGAACGAGAAACCTGGCAGAGCTTGTCGCCAGACATGTGTGAGATGCGGGAATGGCCAGTTGTTTCTCAAACATGGCGAAATGGACCCTGTTTGGAGGGCCTGGGGTAGAGTTTGGGTAAGTCTTGCATGTTGCTGGTGCCTATGGGGTTGGCGTTGAAACACTCCACATGATACACATAGTATATATGTATATACATGAACATATGTATACAAAAAAAAGGCATAGATACTCCGAGGAGGCCTAACCAACTCGAACAATGGCCCATTTGGCAGGTCCAGAAGTTCGTGGAAGCGCTTTTCGAGCGTGGTGCCTAGAGGGTTTTCCCCCAACAATCATGGAAGCTGATAGGAGGTGTTTGGAAGGGGACCGTCCACTCCCATGATGGGCGTCATGTGCCCTGGTCAACACACCCCTTCACTTGTTGGTCGGTATGGTTATGAAGAGCACAAGTCTTGGGAAAGTGTCTTTAAGCTTTGGTGCATTTTGCTGGGATGTTAGGACTTGAGAACTTTTTGCCAACTAATGGATGCTTTCCGTATTAAACCACTAAAAGTTAGTCACTTTTAGCAGGGCTTCGCAGATTTCGCAACCGAGAAAGGGTCTATGGCATAAATGGGAACCCAGGATCAATAAAGTACGAAGGGATTCAGGGTCATTGGCGTCCTTTTTAGGCTAGTTTGGCCAGAAATGGATGGAACTGGTTTAGATGGGTCAATTGTTCCAATCTATTTGTCCAAACAAGGTAACATCACTTGTGCACATGGGCGCTTGTTGCCCCGTGATGCTCGGGTTCCCTTCAATTCCCCGCTCCCAGCCAACCTGAAAAACCGTACCAACAAGAAAGAAGATGCAAGTCACACGTCATGGCACTTGACTGGGTGGCGAAGGGGGGAAAAGCAAAGGATAAGAGGATGTCCATTTGCCCCTTTGCCAAGGAGCAAGCGAGCAAAATGACAGTCAGTTGAGCGACCCCTACGAGCGGTTGAGGCGAAAGCAGCGGATGGCAGGCAATGTGGATGGTTGCGAAATTCATGTTTTTTGTAACACCTTTCAGAAACCCTGGAATGATTCGGGTCCCCAGTAAATGCAAACAAACAACGGCTTAAAGGGAACCAGGCCTTTGTAAGGATCCGTAGAGTACTGTGGATGGACAAACTCCAGGTTGAAACCATGGTTGAAGCCATTGCTGGTTGAAGCATTTACAGGGGACTCGATTCATTCCAGGATTTCTTGGGTGTAGGTTTTTTTTCCACAGGTGACCCTAAGGCAATTTCTCAGGTCCACAGTATGTCTCGCTTTCGTTGGCTTCCCCCCCTAGGATTCTGGTGGTCTTGTGGGGGTTTTTGGGACCGGTCACTCGCTCCATGTTTGGACGGAGACGCATCATCGTGCGCTCTCCACTTGCGTAGAACCAAGAGGTCCCTGGTAGACAGTATTTGGGTGTTCGACCAAGTTTAAGTTAGCAGGTTGTTGGTGGGTTATGATCATCAGTTATGATCCACTTCTAAGTCTCCCCAAGTGCAGTTGACCGTGTTTGTGATAACATGAATTCCGCAAGAGGCTGACCACTTACCAATATTCAGGATACGGGTTCCCCTTAATGGTTGGTTTGGATTGGTGGTTTGCTTCTGCTTCTGGTTAAATGGGGAACCCCTCCTTAAGCACCAAAACACTGTTTCGTAAGCTTTGGCTTCGTGAAACGCCGGCTCAAGAAGTCAGAGGCGGACCCGTTGTTGGTTGCTTGTGCTCGCTCTCTCTCCCTCTTTGTGTCGGTTTGGGCGTCCATCCACATTGTGTTGAGCAACGAGATCAATGCCTGAGGCTCACACCGAACCTCTTGGGACCCAAGTCTGACCTTTCCCGGGGCCCCACAAAAACCGACGGAAATGTGAGCTAAGGCGACAAGTCTATGCAATGAAACCATGGGAATGGGGAGTCGGAATCATTTTTGACAACCCAAGGACTTTTTACAAAGTAAGGAATCTTAAAGACCCAAGGAATAAACAAAGCCAACCAATCACCAAAAGGAGTTTCCTCTACAAATGGGTGTTGCTTTGTTGTATTCCATGTTCATTTGCAGGGGAATAACCAGCAAACCGTAGGTATCCCTGAATTGGTGATTTGGATTGTTTGAAGCCTGGACCCTTTTGGAAAGGTAGCCCCATAAGGTCTAAACCACCTTTTTTGACACACAAGGCACGGCATAGTTTCCTACACCCTCTTTGGCTTACACGGCTTGGCCAGCTTTGGGCTGACCTTGCCTCTGCCAAACTTGACTGCTTCACATCGGTCTAAACCGCCAAACCACCCAGAGGCTCCGATCGGCTTCGGCTTATGGAAGACCCGACCCCTGCAAAACAACAAATTCCGGGAATCGGTGTTTGGGACCCGGTCTCAAAACCTGGTCTCAAAACCTGGCAAAACCTGGAAGTGCACAGAGGGGTTCCCCAAAAGGAAAATAGTCTTCCAAAGCTCTCCTGTCAACTTCCATGATTGTTGGAGGGAGGGTACATCGGGAGCCTCGCACCAACTCTTCTGCCAGGTGGACCGCCAGCGCCTGCCCCAGCGCCCGCGGCACAGGCCGCGCCGCAGGCGTGGGGATTTTTTTTGCGGAAAACGCGGCTCGTCTTTGTTGGTTTAGGGTGGTTGTACAGGGAAACCGAAAGGAACACCACAAGTTTCCCGGGGTATACCGGGGTACCCCGACTCGTATGAATCTTCCCTTGTGGTTTGTGTTCGACACTCCAGCCTATGAATCACAAAAACATCAGTTTGAGCCATTGGTCTTCTGCTGTTTTGGAGTTTGGTGGGCGCCTTCCCATCAAAGTTGGGCCAGCGGCTTGCAGCTGGCGTTGCCCGAATTGGGATGGGTAGCTTGGAGCTTGGGTGGAGCCTAAAGCCTCTTTTTTTCTTTTTGTTTTGTCTGGATTTCCAGCCATACTCTTCGACTTCTTCTCATGACATGTCAGAGCTCCACAAGGTGGCACCCCACGCCTGCCTAGACTCTCCATGACCCTTAAAAAATGGCTGGTCATTGCCCAAAATTAAGGGGTCAAATGGGCCCATTTTCTAGGGGTCATGGAGACTCGGTAAGCCAATTTTGAGGTTCGTGACCTAGCCCGAAGGTGGGACTAGCCAGGGATCAACTTTGCGAATGGAAAGAGCAACCCACAACCGCTCATGAAATCCCTGAAACCCACCACCCCTAAACTCTAAACCTGGAGTCTCCGTCTGACCCCGAAAAAAATGGTTGGTCAACAGCCAAAAGAAAGGGGTCATGGCCCGCACCATGTTTGATTCGCGCCATGGAGACTCCCAACACGTCCTTCGCCCCAAGAATCTTGGGACCTGAAAACGGCCTCAAAACCGGCGTTAGGTCCAACACCTTTCGCCGCCAATGAATTGGGAATCATCCTCGTGCAGGGTTGTGGGATCACTCGGGGTTTCTCCAACCACTTCTGTGATAATTACAATAGAAAGGGAATTCCCCCTTTATATGAACAAACTAGTCTTGGGGGTTAGGCCCTAATAACGGTTAGGCCCTTTCTGTGGTATCACAGCAGTGGATTCCATTCCCCACAGCCCTCGTGGGAATTTTCCGCCAGGAGAAGGGCAAGGGCAAGGGCAAGAAAGGCCGGGACGAGGCCGGAGCTTCGGGACGAGGCCTCGCGGGCGCGTGGTTTTTTCAACCGGAGTGGCATCACTCCAGTCACCGGACTTCATTGTTGCCCAGAGGGTCCCTTGCTACCTAAGGAGGTACTGAAGGATCCCTTCTTGCCCCCCAAAAGCCATCAACTCATGAGGTACCAAGGGACCCTCTGGGGTTGGGAACACCATTCGAAGACACACCTAGCTCGGTTTTCTCAACACCTAGTTTGCAGCCGTGGAAAGCTCTTGGGAAAGAAGAGGAACTGGAAGTGGAAGTGGGGAGCGTTTGGCGGACGTATTTTTCTTCTTTTTGTCTTTCGGATGACCATGGAAGCCCAACACCCCCATTTCTAGAGGAATCTGCTTGTTCTTTTTGGGTTCCTTCTGGAAAACATGTAGGACGTGCACGGCACAAGAACTGTTCGCGCCGAGCTCCGGGGGTGGATGAATTCAGGTGGACAGTGAGTGTTTGTCCGTACAAACGGTGATCGACCTTGAGACCCTCAGATAGGCTTGGAGGCAGCAAGCCGTGTTTGGGGTCTGTTTTCTGTTTCCCGCGTGTGTCCAAACACAACCTCCCAATGTTTGCCGTCATCTCTACTGCTATTGGGTTGGATCTTTAGGCTTTGACTTTTTGGATTCCCCATATATGTCCTTCTAACCAGCAACAAGTTGTTTTTTTGCTGGGTGATCTACAGCGCCTCAGCGTCATAGAGTTTCCCTGTTTGTCCTCGCGGCCTTTGCGTGCAACCTGTTTCGAACGGCTGGTTGGGATTCAAGGAACCTGTGTTCCAGGTGTCGAGGGAGGCAACACCAAAACGCCTTGCGAGTCAATGGCAACAGCCAAAACGGACGGTTGCGAACACCGGTTTCTGCCCATGGCTGGGGGGTGTGTCGTTTGAGGGTGCCCTTTCTTTTGGATGGATTCGTTATTGGTTTCACCAAGAGGAAGGTCTACCTAGACTCTCCTTCTGACTTCAAAAATGGGCTGGGTCATGACCCGAATCTTTCTTTTGGGTAGTCTGACCAACCATTTTTAGAGGTTCACACGGAGAGTCTAGGTAGCTTTCAGGGCTTTGTTCGTTCTGGGGGGTTCGTTCGAGGCGCCAGAGGCTGTTGACTGGGCGTATCGTGTGCACGACTTCCTTGCCATGCCAACGGCTCCAGGACCGCAAAGGGAAGTCCAAAGGTGCGGGCATCCGCGGCGTTTTTTTTTTTTTTTTGGGGGGGGGGAGGTGGGGACTTCCGCGTCGTGTTTTGTTTCTGTTGTTTTTTTCTTCTTTTTTTTTCGGGGCGGGGGGGGGTTGTGGGCATTCGATTTTTCGCGTTTGAATCAGGTAGTGAAGCCCGCAAAGTGCTGTGGATGGTGGCGAAATCCCGAAATCTCAGCACCCGAGAATCGATTCCCCGACGTAAATACCAGCAATCCGTGGCTTTCAAAGGTGTCCAAGTGCTGCGATGTCTGGATTTCGCCACCATCCACCAGCAGGACCCCAAACATGTTGATGGTGGTGCCCCCAGGGTTTTCAGGGCTCCAAAAAATGAGCTGAATGTCCGTGTCCTGCCAACCCTTGGACCGAGATCATGATCTGAGGCCGGTCTCTGGGGGTCAAAAGCCAACTCAACTGTGGGTGGACAAAATCCATTTCGCACCATTTGAAAAGTTTGTTGGAGTCCATGGTATGTTTGAAATTTGAAAAGTTTGTTGGACAAAAGTTTGACGCCATGGTTGAACCCGTTGTTTGCTGGTATTCACAGGCGAATCGACTCATGTCAGGGTCTCTTAGGTGGTGCGAAATGGAGTTCGCAACCATCCACAGTATTTAGGCTCCTCTTGGGGCTCCTAGGGCTTGAAACCCAACGGAGCCTCAACCCAGCTGCCGCTCCCTCTTTCGACTTTTTTGGGCAAGGGTTCCGATTCCCCAGAGGGTCCCTTGGTACCTTCTAGGGAGGTACTCAACGACCCCTTTTTACCCCCTCGACCCTCTGGGTCCTTGAAAGTCAAGAAGTAGATGCCTTTTTTGTCCAATGCCCACTGCCAATCTGAGTCAAAGAAACATGTTGGTGCCCCCGGATTCTGACTTCCGTAACCCAAGCTAAGCATGCTGCGGAGTGCATTTGAACAGCCCTGCCAGCCGGGTGACTAGACTTCCCCCAAAATGCGATTGACTTGTTGCTTCCAGTCAGCCTGCCATTTTGGGAGGTTAAAGAGGGAGATTGAAGGACCCCTGAGCTAGTCAGTACTTTGATGGTCCTTGGCTGAGCCCAATGGCTATACCCCCGACTTACAAGCATGGCGCATGGATTACAACTTATGTTGCCATCTTCCTCTTGCCTCAAGTCTCCTGGGTGTTATGTACCACTACCTAGACTCTCCATGACCCTTAAAAAATGGGGTCATTGCCCAGCAGAAAAGGGTCAAATGGGCCCTTTTTCTAGAGTCACGCGGAGACTCTAGGTAAATTGGTGGTTTGGATTTGTGGTTTGGATTTGGATTCAAATCTTGGTTTCTTTTGAACCACAGGGAAGGTCCCGCGAAAGTCGAAATCCCTTCTGCAAAGCCAGGCGAGAAACCCAAGGAGCGCGAGTTGCCCACCATGGACATGCCCTTCCTCCCGCGCAGGGAGGCGGATTTTTTTTCTGTGGACAGCTTGGGTGGTGAAAACGGGCGATTTGGGGTGGGACCCGTTTTTTTTTGTGGACGCCACTCGCCCTTTTATCCATTTTTGCGGGTCCTAACGTCACTTAATTGCTATTGGCTGGGATCTTTAGACTTCAACTTTTCGGGAAACCCGCGAAAAGTTGCACTGTTTGCAGGGTCTACAGCAACCAAGACCAGCATGTGAAAACGGCAGGCGATTAGTGTCCTAGTTCAAAAGCAAGTCAAACCACAAAACAAGGTACCCTCCTGTCCACATGGTACCCACCAAGACATTCCACTCGTCCAGGACCCCGAAATGTCAAATGGTGGATTTTTGGGATGGATCCGCATGAAGCCTGGTTCTAGTTCTGTAGTTGTTGTTTTTTTTTGCTTAGGGAGCATGTTCCGCATATTTGTCCTTTTCAGAAGGGTTCCCCCTTCAAATCATCCAGCAAACAAACTTGCCGGTGCTGACCTTCCGGGTTTTGGAAACGAACCAATGAACCTAGGAATTCCCTTAAAGGAAACCAATGGGGATGTTGGAGGTCCTCCCCTCATTCCCTGCTGAGAGCCAGCAAAGCAAATCCGTCAACAAACAAAGGGAGCCCTTTGTTTTCAATGGCCACTTGGCTTCTGTAAGCGCTTCCGCCCCAAAGTAGCTTCAAGAAGCCTCACAATGCAACCAGAGTCACCCAGTTGTTTTCTCTAATCAAGCGAGAAGCGAGCGGCTCTAACTGATCGATCTTGGGGGACAGGGGGAAAGTAGATTCAGGCCCTTAGTTGGTGCTTGGGGATTGAACCCTTGGTTCTTGTAGAGGGTAGATGTGAACCACCAATCCAATCCACCAAACCACCGGGCTCCAAACCACCAACTAGAGGGAAGCTGATATATACCTAGACTCTCCATGATCCTTAAACAAGTGGGGTCATTGCCCAAAATTCAGGGGTCATGACCCCTTTTTCTAGGGGTCATGGAGACTCTAGGTAGAATGATTTCCTTGCCGAGTGACACATCCGCATTTAATCCGTCAGCCTTTCTGATAGCGCAGGGGGACAAGCGCCTCATGGTGGTGGACGCGTCATCTGGGCGGCATAAGGCGCGTGTGTTGTGACACTCCCATTTTCTTCCCCAGAATGAGTTCCCCGATCTTCGTTTTTTTTTTTGGGGGGCTTTTTTGGGGTCCCCTTTGTGTTCCACTACCGGGCAAAACAGATATTTGTTGCTGGGGTCCTAATTTCAGCGAATAATTTTGAGTGTTCAGGAAATTGTTTTGCGACGTGGTTTCCCTTGCCAGTAATTTGACGGTCATTTTGAGGATGTCGCCTTGGGCTCAGATGGGGTCGGGTCTTTCATTGAAAGCCCCAGGAGCTTCTGGGTGGTGAAGGAACCTTCCCAGACTCCCATGACCCTTTAAAAATGGGATCATGACCCCTTTCTTTTGAATAATGACCAACCATTTTTAAAGGGTCAAGGAGAGTCTAGGTACTTACCTCACGTATAGATTCATAATATTTTCATCCATGGCCATTTTGGAACCTGTATCGAGCCGAGCTCGGGACTCATACCAGGGGTTCAGAAAAAAGGGCGTACAACCATTTCTAGGTCCCCCAGCAATTGGTGCCCGTTTTAACCCCTTCCTCAGTTGTTCAGTGGCCCCTTTTTCCATTTTTTTTTGGTGGCTGGCCCACTAAAAATTGTCTTCCCCAAAAGGGTTCCCTTTTTTTCCCGGGGTCACTGAACAACTGAGCTTCTTTGGTTGGGAAGGTTCCCCTACTAAAATAGAAAAACCGAAAACAAGTTAGTACCCTTCTTCTAACTTCTCCTCCGGAGGACCGGACGTATACATTCAGCCTTACGTCGAACATCCAAGCTTTGCTGCATGTCGCTTGGATGTTAGGACTTCAACTTTTTGCCAACTAAGAGGGGGTTTTCCGTATTAAACCACTCAAAGTGACTCACTTTTAGCAGGGCTTCGCAGATTTCGCCACCGAGTTACGAGCGGTTTCAATGTTGGATCCCGATGTGTTGCCTCGATTGGTCTGGCTTCCGGGCTTCCTGAAGCCGAACCTTTGGAGGTGTTGACCAACTGCTTGAACTGCGGCAAGGCGGGAGACCGTCGAGGCCAAAAGATGAGCCGAACCGGAGCCCCAAAAGACCCTACCTCGACTCTCCTTCTGACCCTTAAAAACTGGTTGGTCATTGCCCAAAATAATGGGGTCAAATGGGCCCTTTTTCCAGGGGTCATGGAGACTCCAGGAAAGTATGAGTTGGCCCCAAAGACCCCCCCAAAAGGGGCCTCAAATGATGAAATTTCGGCCCAAGGAATTCCTCCTAGGCTGCTTCCCAGAGCGTCCCTTGGTACCTCATGAGGATGGCTTCTGGGGGTAAAAAGAAAGGGGTCGTTCAGTACAAAGTACCAAGCGGATTTTCTGGGGAACTGGAGAAGGGAATTTTTCGCTTAGGGGGAATCCCATTTGGGGGGTGTCTGTTTTTTTGAGAGTACCCTTTCGTGGCTTGGCCGAGCTCGCCTTTATCAACCAGTAGATCAGGTGTCCCGCTTTCCGCAGAGCCCGAAACCCAAAAATCAGCGTGTTTAGTGGGTCGGGTCATGTTTCATTTGGGGTTATTGTAAGAACTAGTGCAAGCATTTACAACCCTTCCTGGTGTACAAACATACCAGAACCATGTGTCAAGGGGTACTCCAGTTCGGTTTCTTGCCCCGGGGTATTGTTCGCTTACAAAAGTTCTACGGAGATACTTTTGCGGGCGAAATGCTGACTTGTTCATGACATGTTGTTTGTAGCAAGCAAGAAACAGATCATGAACACACGTGTTGGGTTTTTGTGCTTTGCCATGTTTTCTTATGGTTGGAACCACGTGGCAATTTTTCTAGGCAAAGCTCACCTTCTGAATTTTAGAGAAAGGAACTGGAGGGAAACAGTTAGGGACCTTACAAAAGATGGGTTCCACTCTTTTCCAAGGTTAGTTTGAACTTGTTTGTCTTCGCGATTTAAGGGCCGGGTTAAAGGGAACACAACAGGAAAACCGAATTCCATCGGCTTTTCTATGTCCCCGCAACAGGATTTGGGGCGCCCAAAGACACCCCCTCCAACTTTCAAGCAGGCTTGCTGTTTCGATGGGCAGGGAATGAAGGGGACTGACATGACACATATCAACGACACATATCAACCATCCAACTGTTGCTCTCCCCTCTTTGTGGATCCAGTTTTGGTTCATTCCCAAAACCAAACAATGTGTCTGTCCTTTTCGAGGGTGCTCGTTTGTTGATGGCTTTAAAGGCAAACCAAGAGGACAGCCGCAATCTTGGGGTCCCTGACTTCACTGTCGTTGGCACGTTTTTTTTTTTTTTTTTAAAGATTATGTTCATTCTTGATGGGGGGGGCTGCAAAACGGCAAAGTTGTTTGCTACCATACTAGCAAACACCCGCAGATTGATTCCCTCTTGAACAGGTAAGAATGAATCCACGCGTGCCAAAAAGCCGCGACAAGTCTCGACCTAAAAAAACACGGTTGATTCGGGGAGGCTTTTGCGAACTCGAGATCGCAAATTCATCAGGTCACATGTACTTGGCGGTTTGGATTTGGACATTTGAAGCCGTGGTTCTTGTCGAGGGAAATCCCTCGGCCAAACCACCAACTGGAAAGAAGCTAAAAATATCTGTCCCTTGGAGCCCCTTGGACCCCTTGACCTTCGATCAAACGGGGCCTCAAATGATTCGAAATCGGTCCAAAGGGCTCCTAGCATGTCCATTTCCCCTCTCAGAGGGCCATGAGTTGATAGCTTTTTGGGGGGTAAAAGGAAAGGGGTCGGTCTAAGTACCTCCTTGTAGGGACCCTCTGGGAAGAATTCAACGGTTCCCGCACCCATTCATGGCTTGGGATTCTCCCCTCCAATTCCCCGGTTTTGCACAAGCTCAGGTGACTCACAATCAAACCCTGCCCAGCTCACGATTGATTAGGGGCTTCAAACAAGGTTCTGAGACCCCGAACTACCCCCAGGGTGTCGTTTTGGAGGGGCCGGGTCCATTGAAAGCCGAAGCCGAGCGGAGCCTCGTACCAAAAAAGGTGAGAGAAACCAGACGCGTGGGCCGTTTTTTTAGGAGCTTGGCGCCGGGCTCCTTCCAACCCCGGCTTCTCCAGAACCTTTGTCCAGAACCTTTGGCCGCTTAGAAAGATCAAATTCCATTCGAATTCTATCGCACTCAACTCCACCCCAGCTCCACCTTTCCAGACCCCGCGCGCCCCCCCCATTCCGCCTCCATCTCCATTCCATCCCACTCGAATTCCATTTCAACCAACCACCCAGTTGCATCAGGGTTGTGGTTGATCACTCGGGGTTTATCCAACCACTTCTGTGATACCTCCGGGAATCTCCCACTTTATAAAGGGCCTTAGTCTTTGGGAAGCCCTTTCCGTTGTATCACAGAAGTGGATTCCATTTCCCACAGCCCTGGTCCAGAATCTTTGTCTAAGCCAAGCATATACGCACACACCCACGATAACCTTTCCCCCTACAACACCTTCAGTTTGAAAGTCCCACAGTGCATTTAGTGCTTGGCGTTTTGCGACTGTTGGTCAGACATGGGTGTGGCTCAAAATCAAAGGATCGGAGGGGCAAACCGCAGGTCTTGGTCCATGTTTCCACTTCTTGGCCCGAGTCTTTCTTTTGGGCAGTCTGACCAACCACGCTTTGTGGGTCAGAAGGAGAGTCTAGGTCCCCCCAACCCAAGAAACGCACCTCGCCCGACGTTAAAAAATAAGCTCCGGCGATATCCCCAACAGCATGTGGAACCCTGGTAAAACCCTGGTGGAACCCTGGTGGAACCCTTCAGCTGTTGGGGAAAAAGAAAACAAATAACTCCCAGAATCCTCGCGGAACGCCCCGGGACCATCCTTACCGCCGGTGTTGCTGAGGATGCCGCCTTGTAAAGCAAAGCTACGAGTGACAGCGCAATCTCGCCCTGATCGGGGCCCGACGGCGCAATCGGGGCCCGATCGGGGCCCGACGGCGCAATCGGGGCCCGATCGGGGCCCGACGGTGCAATCGGGGCCCGATCGGGGCCCGACGGTGCAATCGGGGCCCGATCGGGGCCCGACGGTGCAATCGGGCCCGGATCGTCCCGTGGTGCAACCCCAGCCACCCATATTATAGCTCAACGCCGGTTTTCCTTAGCATGCGGATTGCAACTGTATCTATAGCAAAACTAGGCGATGCCAGCTTGGTACAACTGACGGGGCCCGACTGAGTCGGGCCCCTCGGGGCCCGACGGCGATCGGGGCCCGACGGCGCAATCGGGGCCCGACGGCGCAATCCGATCGAGGCCCGACGGTGCAATCGGGCCCCGATCGTCCCGTGGTGCAACCCCAGCCACCCATATTACAGCTCAACGCCGGTTGCAACTGTATCTATAGCAAAACTATAGGCGATGCCAGCTTGTACAATTGACGGGGCCCGACAGAGTGGGGCCCCGATCGGGGCGCGATGGCGCAATCGGGGCCGATCGGGCCCAAAGGCCCCGACAGTGCAATCGGGCCCCGACCTAGGCCCGGTGAACCTCGCAAACCGTTCTCACGCAACTTTCGTGGAGCTCAGCGTGAAACTTTGCTGGAACCTTTCCTCAGGGCTGCCCCATAGCTTTTGCAGAATTTGGTGTCTGACCTCATAGCCCTCGCAGCCTCCCAAGGCCCACCAAGCAGCAATGCCAAGCATTTACTCTGCTGCACCGTGAGCGACGTGATCTGATTTGCCACAAAGCCAACATTTGCTTGAGCAAGTGAGCAAGTCACAAAACAGTGAACGTGTGCTAGAAACCATTGATTTCGGTTTTGCTTAGTGTTCCGCCCATGAGCAAAGCGATCTTGATCCGATGGCTTTTCAGACGACGGGCGCACGACACACCCTTGGTGGAGCATTGTGGAGCCTTGTGGAACCCGTGTGGAATCCTTGCAGAGCTTTGTGGAACCCTGTGAAACCTCAGGGCGGCCCACAGAACTGTGCTGGAGTGGAGCCTTACCTTGCAAAACCTGGTGGAATTCTGGTGGAATTCTCATGGAACATTACCTCAAACCAGCCCGGACCGCTGGTGGAACCCTGGTGAAACCATGGTGGAACCCTCGTGGAACCCTCCCCGGACCACGCCGCACCTCTTTGGTGGAACCCTCGTGGAACCCTCGTCCAGAGCACGACGGGCTGGTGGAACCCTGGTGGAAACCGGTGGAACCCTGGTGAACGTTACCTCAAACCACCTCAGACCACCCTGCAGCCCTCGCAGAACCTGGTGAAACCCTGGCAGAATTGTGGTGGAAATCTGGTGGAACCCTCGTGGAACCTTCCTCAAACCAGACCGTCCCAGCCTGGTGGAACCCTCGTGGAACCTTACCTCCCACCCAGACCACCCCGCTGTTGGAACCCTGGTGGAACCCTGGTGGAACCCTGGTGGGACCCTGGTGGAACCCTGGTGGAAACCTGGTGGAACCTTAGCTCAGGGTCGCCCCGAACCACCCCGGAGCCTATCTGGGCTGAGACCCCAAAGCTTTCAGCTGTTGGGGAAAAAAAGAAGTCCGGGGCCTTTGGTTCCGGCGAGTCTTGTGGCAGGTCATCGTGGAGCAAGAAGGTGTGGACAGAGTTCGGCCGACGGAGTTCGGGCCAAGGGGATTGAGTTGTTTTCTTGCGAGCCAACAAAAAGGAACCTTGGGGGGGGGGGAAAAGGAACCTTGGGGGGGGAGGGGGGTGGAGTATTTTGCAGCCAAAAGGCGGGTAGCCAAGAGGGAACCCCGAGAATCAAACAGGGGAACCTTGAGACAAGGTCATACCCAAATTGAGGGGGGGCCCAGCCAGTGTATTAAATGTTCCGAGCCCCCCTGGGCTTGTTGGTTCAAAGGGAAACGGAAAGGAACCCAGGCTGAGACAAACCCACATTTCATCGATGTTGTGCTTTGCTCGTAGTTCAGAACCTCGTTCAAGACAGGGAATGTGGGAAGGAACCGGAAGAGGGTCCCTTTACAAAATAACATCAGTTGGTGTTTCTTGGGGTCATTCCATGTCTCATTCCCTGAACCCCTTGGACCCCAAAGAGCTGGCTCAACCCAACAGTCAGGGGCCAGGGGCCTCAAAGCTTCCCCATGAGCTCCCCTCTTTGTTTTTGTGTTTTTCCCTTTTTGGGGTCCCTTGGTTTTTCCAACCAGGCAAACAAGTGTTTTTTTTGGGCCGGGGCCCGATTTTTCCAGATTAGAAAACCATGCGAGGTCTTGGCTCAGGCCTCCCCAGGCCCATCGCTGCGTGGCTTTTGGCACAGAGATCGCGCACAGGCCCACCTAATTTGAAGACCTAGACTCTCCTTCTGACCCTCAAAAAATGGTGGGTCACTGCCCACAATTAAGGGGTCCTGACCTCTTTTTCCAGATCATGGAGACTCTAGGTAGATATTTTCTCGCCTTTCTGATGATTTAAACATACTTCCGTTGCCATTTATGTCCAGCAACCACGGGGTTCCCTACCAAACTCACTTGCCCAAAGCGATTCGACTTGTTGACCGTTGAGTTTCCCATTTTTGTCATCACTTTCATTTTCAAGTCTTTTGAGCAACTGCGGAACAACTACCACAAAACAGGGCTTTCCTTTAGGCGCACATGATGGGAGCATGCCGATTCTCTTTGGCCAGAAATAAGGAGAGCCGGGAGGTCACCCGACCTCACTGTGATTCGACCTAGCAATCCTGAAATAAGGGTCTGGGAGAAATCCTGTTTTGTCATGCCCGCCACCCACACCTGCTGCTTGAATACGCAGTATTTAATGAGCTGGACCCCCGTCCCCCTTCATGATTGCTGCGTGGAGCCGCGTTTTGGCATGCAAATTGAGCTGTTGTCCGTTGCGTCACCCAGAATTCCACTTTGGGGGGATGCAGCCTCTTAAACACGGGGTATTTATAAAGAGTTGCCGCCTGGAGCCCTTATTGATGGGGTTTCAGAAGTTGCCGTGTTGAGGCAGTGCCACAACCTATTTCAGATCGACCTTTGAAATACCGACTTCGACCCAACGACCTAGGAAATATAATAATTCACCCAGACCCTTTCTTGGGGGAGGCTTCCCCTACTAAAACAGACTGCAGAAAAAGAAGAAGAAGAAAAAAACGGGTACCAACTTATTCTAACCTCTCAAATCTGGAGGACCTAGGGAGCAGAGAATCCTAGGCAAGTGGCGAGGTTGCGTTGTGTTTTTTGGCATTGTGCCAGGTTGGGGTCCGTGCCTCTTCTGTGGGAACCCCCTGGAGGCTGGAACCTCCGGACGAATCGCTCGAGGTCCGAATCGGCCCGGAAAGCAAGACAGAATGTCTACCTCTGTTGAAGAAACTCCCCCCCAACCCCCTCCCACCCAGAAACATCCTAACTTTTTAGTATTATTATTCCCGAAAGCATCGCGAAGGGTTCTTCCGTGCGGAGCCCTTGTTACATAGAGCCAAGTTACATAGAGCCAAGTTACATAGAGCCAAGTTACATAGAGCCAAGTTACATAGAGCCAAGTTACATAGAGCCAAGTTACATAGAGCCAAGTTACATAGAGCCAAGTTACATAGAGTTACATAGAGCCAAGTTACATAGAGCCAAGTTACATAGAGCCAAGTTACATAGAGCCAAGTTACATAGAGCCAAGTTACATAGAGCCAAGTTACATAGAGCCAAGTTACATAGAGCCAAGTTACATAGAGCCAAGTTACATAGAGCCAAGTTAGGTAGAGCTTAGAGCTTCGGCGTTAGCAGCTATGTAAGTTAGTTTAGGTTTCTAAGGCGCCGGGGCGGGAGTTTGATCGTCGCTCGGGATTGCGACCCTCTGCGGAGATTCGCGTGGTCGAGGTTCAAAAACTGAGGACTTTTTACGATTTCTGCTGGCCGCGCGCGACCCTCTGCGGAGATTCGCGTGGTCGAGGTTCAAAAACTGAGGACTTTTTACGATTTCTGCATGCGCGCGCGACCCTCTGCGGAGATTCGCGTGGTCGAGGTTCAAAAACTGGGACTTTTTACGATTTTTAGCATGCGCGCGCGACCCTCTGCGGAGATTCGCGTGGTCGAGGTTCAAAAACTGAGGACTTTTTACGATTTCTGCTGGCCGCGCGCGACCCTCTGCGGAGATTCGCGTGGTCGAGGTTCAAAAACTGAGGACTTTTTACGATTTTAAGCATGCGCGCGCGACCCTCTGCGGAGATTCGCGTGGTCGAAGTTCAAAAACTGAGAACTGTTTACGATTTCTGCGGTGCGCGCGCGACCCTCTGCGGAGAACGTGCGTGTCGAAGCGCTCTCGCTGTGGCGCCGTGCGAATTTGTCTAAGTCTCGGCGAGCCTTTTGCGGAGATTGTGCGTGTCGAAGCGCTCTCGCTGTGGCGCCGTGCAATATTCTTGCTCGCGAAACGGCCTTTGGAAGTTGTCTCGTGGTTTGCGCGCCTGCTTTCGCAATCCCGCGGTCGCGGGTTCGATTCCCCCCTGGTCCGCGGCAGCTCCGGCTTGAAAATCGCAGCTTTTAAGTACAAACGTAGTACGCGGAGCGTGCTCCCACAGCTCCGGCTGGAGAATCGCAACTTTTAAGTACAAACGTAGTACGCGGAGCACACCCCCGCAGCTCCGGCAGCACTTGCGCAGAGCAACTTGCGCAGAGTCACTTGCGCAGAGCAACTTGCGCAGAGCAACTTGCACAGAGCAATTGCACAAAGCACTTGCGCAGAGCAACTTGCACAGACCAACTTGCACAGAGCACATGCGCAAAGCGCTTGCACGGAGCAACTGGCGCAGAGCCCTTGCGCAGAGCAACTTGCTCAGAGCACTTGCGCAGAGCAACTTGCAACAGACCAACTTGCGCAGAGCACATGCGCAAAGCGCTTGCGCGGAGCAACTGGCGCAGAGCACTTGCGCAGAGCAACTTGCTCAGAGCACTTGCGCAGAGCAACTTGCACAGGTCACTTGCGCGCAGCAGCTTGCAGAGAGCAACTTGCGCGCAGCAGCCTGGAACAATGCAGCTTGCGCAGACCACTTTCGTGAGAAGTCGCGCGGCGCAGTTCGAGAGGAAAGTAGGATGATGAGATGGAGCTCTCATGTGACCATACACACTGAGCATCGCCGCGCGCAGACACGCTCGCGGCAGCGATGTAAAAAGGTGTCTCCGCAGCTGGATGAGCACCTGTGGAAAAATGCTTTCGGGCCAATCGTCCTCTAGTGTTTTTTTTGGGGGGGGGTATTTTTTAATCAGTGCCGGCCCGCAACATAACTTTAATCTTTCTAAAAAAAAGAAGAAGAGGACATTACCTGGAGTCTCTGAATCTAACCCCGGGTCAAACCATGGGGTGCCAAGACGCACGTCTCCATGGGTTGCCGTGTAATGACCAACCACGTTTGACACCATAGGTGTCCGTTTTGGGTGAGTTTGGTTAAAAATAGATGGCACTGGTTTAGATGGGGTGTATTCCATTTACCAGGGCCATCTATTTTCCAAAAGGCCACCTATGCATGACACACGTCTCCTTCTGACCCGAGTCAAACATGGGTTGCCATGTAATTACCACCGTATTTTAAGAACTCAGAAGGAGACTCCAGGTATTCCCAAGCGCCCATGAAGATGTTTTTGTGGATGTGGGCAAATGTGTTGTGCTTTTTTTCTGGGGGTGGGTGGGTGGTTGGAAGGGAAATTCAACAGGGGAAAAGTGCATCTAAGAGTTTCATTTGCCCAGGATATGTATTTATGCTGGGGCAACTTGCTTGTGGAAGCCCCGTCTTGTTCGCGAGGATTTCGCTTCCGTAGATCCCAGGCGTTGACAGCAGCTTTGTCAGTTAAAGGGCCCCTACACCTGGAAAGAGTCCAAGGCGGTCTCAAGCCAAATCAGTTGAATTTATTTGCCCCCAATGGTTGCCCAACCTGTGTCGGGCTTGACCATCAACAAATTGGGTGGTTTCTCTCTGGCTTCCCAAAGAAGATCAACAAACAGGGATCTGAGGCCCATCGTTTGACTCAAGCGCGGCTTTTTCAGTTTTGGTTGCACCCTGCCAACACTCGCAACTCGCTTCTTGAAATCCTGGACTTGTTTCTTTTTGGGAAGACCACTTTAGAAGACAACATGGGACCCAAAGTGAATCCACATTTTAGCCTTGGATTGTCCCTTTTTGGTCCATGTTCACTCATTGCCCCAAACGCTGATGACCTTTTATTTCTAGGTCCTTTGGAGAATCAGAGCATGTTTGGAGTGCAGATCCTAAGACTTGTAAGCGGCAACATATGCACTTGGCACCCTACACACTTGGACATAAACCACCAAGCCATGGTTGTAAGTGCCCGTTCTGTGAGTTTATACAGGAATTGCAAGGGTTCATTCGCATCCATTTGGTGATACCTCCCAGACCACAAAGTAGGTTGCTTGGCCAAGTGGTGAGAAACGTGGTTCTGTCGCACTTGCGATGGTTGCAAGTCCCGTTCTGTGGGTTGCAACCAGGGTAAGTAGCACGAGACTCTCTAAATCTCGTTCTGTCAGCTATACGGTACGGCATTTTGCCAGCTCGTGGTTATTTTCCGTGTCAGTCTCCAAATCCCAGGGATATGAAGTTGAATAGGAGCCCCATAAAAGAGGTTGGTGGACATGAATCCCTACCAAAGTTTGATGTCCACCATTTCGGGTCTGCCATCACACTTTAACCCAAATGGTTGGGCATTCACTTCCATTTGCTAAAAGGAACATGTGTTATTTTCCCTGGTTGGTTTTAAAGTTGGATTCAATTTCACCGCTAGACATATTTTATCATTTGCTGCAGGTGGCTGAAACAAACAGAGGTTACTAAAAGGGCAACCACCTTTACATGGTTGTTGTTGGGAAACATTTTACATTTTTGCTTCTTGTGGTTTTGTGGGAAATCCCCACCTGACCGCTAAAACATATTCTTGTTGCTCCCCTTCCAACGTCAAGCAAGTTTGGTTAGCAAGTTTGGTCCTTAGGCCAATGGAAGGAGTCAGCTTCCCCCTTTCCTGCCCCCCCCCCCCCCCCCCCCCCCGGCTGCGAATTCCGAATTCGCATTCGAGGTCGGGGACCGCCGCAGCGGCGTCATGCACGGGGACGCCCGGGGCAAAGTCGTCTCTGGCGCCCTGCCGGGGACCCGGAGGCGCTCGCTGCGGAGGTCTGCGAGGTCCGGACTTTTTTCGGACATGATCTCAGCTGTGTGTCAAAACCAATGCGATCCCATTTTTGGGGTAGGTGCACCACCCATTTTTGTCTATTTTAGTGGGGATTGGCACAAATTGGGATCAGTTGCTCAGTGGCGCCAATTCTTTTCCCCTTTTCTTTGGTGGCTGCCCCACTAAAAAATGGCCTTCCCTAAAAAGGGCGCCCTTTTTTCCAGGGTCACTGAGCAACTGAGTGATCGCTCATGTTTGGGCTTGGTGGCCATTTTGGTGCCCAGCGGATCCCGATGTTTTTTTTGTTTAAACCAGCACTATTTTGTGTACAACTGAAAATGGCAACCACACCCCAAAAAGTGATGCAAGTCCAGGGCAAAACAACTCCAAACTGTATTTTTACCCAGAGCTTCCTGGGGCTTTCAATGGAAGACCCGACCCCTCCTTTAGATTTCGGAGGTGTTTGGGACCCGGTCTCAACACCTGGCTGTTGGAGGGCCAATTCTTTTGGCCCAATCCGCGCGATCGGAAGTGAGCCTTGTTTGTCAGGTCACGGTGAAAAGTACCGGGGGTAACAAAAACATGGTTTTTCGTTTATCAGGTGCTGCCAGGCAAGCCACTTAGGTAACCAAAGGAAACCATCTGATGTACCAAAAGGAAGCCATGCCAAAGGGGTACCTGAAAGCACTGGGCAAGGGTACCCAACAATGATTTTCCTTTTGGTCTCCAGATCGGAACGGGTCGGAGCCGAATGGGGCGTTTGGAGGTGTGGAGGTTGGGCACAAGAACCAAGGGTTCAAGCCCCCAAACCAATCCACACCACCAATGAATCATTGTGTTGTGGAAAGCGCTCCAACCAAACTTCCTTCACACACTGGTGTATATATTGGCCAGACTAACGCGGAACCTGAGCATATTTTTCCGTGAACCCCAGGCAGGCCAAGACGACAACACCAAAAAAGGTGGTCTTTGGTTTCCCTTTCAACCTGAAACGGGTGCAACTCAGGCACCCGATTTGTCCAAACCGGATGTGTGTTTGGCAAATGTGGTGCGGTCAAAAGTGCCGCGTAGGGCTACCAACAATTTAGCAATTCGTCCCAGAGCATCTAAGTATGCTCACTTTTCCAACGCCGACCTTCTGACATTTTGATCGCCCAGTTTTTGTTGCTTTTGGGGATAAAGTGAGATTGAGATAAGGGCCCAAGGCATAGGAATTGGGATACGTCAAATTCAAGCCGAGTCATAGTGGGAGCATCATGTTTGCAGGTATTCAGCCTAGTATTCTGTTTTTCGGACCCACCTGCTGAAACCGTGGACTCGCCCGTTACTTTGAGGCCTTTTGGATTGTTTCGGATTTCGGGGCTGTCGCAAAACATAGGCAGACCCGTGCGCCTGTACAAGTCATAGAGCAGCGATGCATGTCTATTACAGACTGGGGGCCAAAGCACGTGCTGAACAGGTGCCCCTGGGATTCTACTGCTGGAATTGGGGGAGGGGGGTGACCCCTGGAGATCTCCATTTGTGGTTCTATTTTCCCTTTTACGGGGAAGACTAGATAAACGGAATTGGGGAGCCCCCACCCCCTTGCCCTTAAGATAGGGGGGATCTTTCAATGGAAGACCCGACCCCTCCAAAACGACACCCCGGAGGTGTTTGGGACCCGGTCTCAACACCTGGCTGTTTGAGGGCCCCACATACATCGGGAGCCTTTGGGTGGGAAATAGGGCTAGATACCATTTGTGTACTCATCGCCCATTTGAAGTTCTGTGGTTTTTTGCAAGGGTATTCAGGGCTACATGGTTGAAACAGTAGACAGACATGTCTATTACAAGCCAATGAAGTCCAGCGGTGATAACCCTTGCACATCATATAGACCTGGGTCTGATCAGTGGGCAAATCCTGTTAGGCCTTAAAGGGGTCTCCTCGTATTGAGACAACCCGGGAAAAAACACAACAAAAACGGTTGGTTTCTTCTTCTGGAAGATTAAGACTTGCCGCTACTCGAAATTTTGCATTTAGGGTATGTTCAAATCAGACATGGCAAATAATTTCCTTAGGTCCTCGATCAACATCATATGCTGAAGACCACAACGCAAACCCGCGACTTTTGCGGAACCCCCTCTATTTGCAACGTTTTCAGTTGGGACAAAACAGGCTGAGTATTTGGAGCATGGGGTAGCTTGACGCCCACCTAACTGGAGTATTATTTTTTTTTGTTCGACCTTTTGGTGGTCATCGTTTACAACTTCTATGTCCACCAAGCAGTCAAGGAATCCGCTTGAACTTCATCTTCCGGGGTTTCTGGTCCACCGTGGGTCATTGGCCGCCCCGATGTCACCTCATTGAAACCGCTCCCCGCCCTCGCCCGAGCCATCAGATCGACGAAGCCGAGGAGCGCGGAGGAGGAGCGCGTGAACGCCGCCTTCCAAAAAGCCGTGGACACCAAGGCGCGGATGGGCTCGTGGTTTGCCTTGTCCCACTGGGAGAAATAAGCCTTGCCCCCCTGGTCAAAGGCTGTCATATCTAGGGTCTTGGGTTGTAGGGAAGGGCAAGTTCAGGTTTGGTTTGTGGCAGGTATGGATGCTTATTGAGTTTGTTGTTAAGTGAGCCCCCCTGGTAGAAACCCTTTTCAAGGGAGGCGGTTCATTGTCGAAAAGGCAAATCCTGAGGACTCGATCTTCGGAATGGGATGAGCCACGTGCTCAAAACCGAATCGGGTAGATGAAGGCTGGTAAGGGGCAGTCCCAGCCAGAAATAGTTGCGGAATTCCGCCTTCTTAATTCTTGAAGCATGGTTCTGGGTAGACCGTTTTAATGCCGGGTTTTGATTGTGACGCAGATGGACTCGACCTTCGAGAAAAAATGCTTCGAATTGGTTTCGCGTTGATTGCAACCCACAAACTTTTTAAACTCGGAATGGGAAGGGGTGGAAGTTACTTCTCATTTGCCCCGGACAAAAGGAACACCATGTAATGGCAACCCCCATATTAATCAACCCCAGTTTGTTAAATTCGGGGGGGGGGGGGGAGTTGGCCCCTCCACATGTGGTCTGATTCCAACCACTGAACCCAGGGAGATTCGCTCCCCTATTAATAAACTGGGGTGAATGTAATATGGAGTCAACATGAACCCAACGGTTTCAACTCGTGCGAGTTGGTTTTGGGTCACGAGAAAAATACGAGCAGGGCTAAACGCTATCGAACCACAAAAGCACGGATCGCAATAATTACACGAATTTTCAGGTATGTGTTTTGGAGGCATAGTGGTGGTTGTATACAACTGAACATGTATGTATGTTATATATGTAGGGGTGTACTGCCTTACAAGCGTAGATCAGTGGTTTTGAAAGATGCTTACCTCCAAACCCCATAGGAAATGCCCTTGGTTGGTTTGGACTTGGATTTGAAACCCTGCTTCTTGTAGAGGGTTCCTCGGAAACCGCGGAACACCTTCAAACACAAGTTGGAGGGAAACGGAGGCTGGAGGCTGGGGAGTTGTGACCCTTGTGGGTGGTTTCAATCGAGAACAGAAGGAACACCACCTATTTTGAGTGTCCCTAGACTCTCCATGACCCTTAAAAAATGGGGTCATTGCCCAAAATTAGAGACCGGGGGACTGTGGTAGTGCACTTGTTGTGTGTTTTTGAGGCTTGATCTCTTGCAGAAGTTGTGCACATGTTGCTTGATAAGTGTTTGCCTCTCTGAGTGGCACTGGGAGTCTGAGCGTAAGTCTTGGCACTGCTCAATTTAAAATTGGCACTGCTACATGTCGTACTTTGAATGCAAGAGCAAGTCTTGGCAATACTAAATTTAGATCGGCAATATTAGATGAAGCACTGGGAATCTGAGTGCAGTGTAAGGCTTGGCAATTCTCGATTAAGATGATACTAAATCAAGCACTGGGATTCTGAGGGGATTCTGAGGGTAAGTCTTGGCAATACGCAATTCCCGAATTGGCAACATGTTAAATCAAGCACTGGGAATGTGAGAAGAAGTCTTGGCAATGCTAAATCTATAATTTTTCAATATGTACTAAATTCATCACAGGGAATCTGAAAGAAAGGCCTGGCAATGTTAATTTGCAATTGGCAATACTAAATTTAGAATTGGCAATACTAAATCAAGCACAGGGAACCCGAGAGTACGTCTTGGCAATATTCAATTTAGAATTTGCAAACAACAAGAAATAAGCAATGGTGGGAATCTGGCAATACTAAATCTAGAGTTGTCAATATACACAAAAATCGGTACTGGGAGTCTGAAAGTAAGGCTTGGCATTTTGCAATGTGGAATTGCCAATACTAAAATTAGCATTGGGATCTGAGTATAAGTCTTGGCAGTGCTCAGTTTAGATTTGGCATTAGTATTGCCGAGACTTACTTTCAGAATCCCAGTACTTAATCTAGTATTATCTTAATCGAGAATTGCCAAGCCTTACACTGCACTCAGATTCCCAGCGCTTATTCTAGTATTAGCACTGGGAAACTAAAAAGTAAGTCTTCGCAATACTGAATTTACTACCGGGATTCTGAAAGTAAGGCTCGGCAATACTAAATCTAGAATTGGCAATACTAAGTTGAGCACTGGGAAACTAAAAGTAAGTCTTAGCAATACTGAATTAACTACTGGGATTCTGAGAGTAAGCTTTAGCAAAATTAAATTTAGTTGGCACCGCTCAATTTAAAATTGGCACTGCTAAATCAAGTCTGCAAGAGTAAGTCTTGGCAATGCCAAATTTAGATCTGGGGGTAGTGTTTTGCGAAATGGGATGTTGGGGTGCGAACTGGATTTTGCAACCGTCCACATGGATGGTCTTCAGTAATTATCACAGAACCTTAGAAGCCCCTTGGACCGGTTTTTTTATTTGAGGCCGCAAAGGGGGTCAAAGGCCAACTCACACTTTCCGGGTCCGGTTAGGTCGTTTCCACAATGGGAGGGACAGGCGGGCGAAGCCGAGCCGCAGGACCGTTTGCTGAGCTACGACCGTGATGCCAAGCGCAGAACCAAGGCACTTCGGCACTGCGATTCGAACGCCGCGTTGAAAAGCTGTTTACTTGCCCAGAGGGTTTCTTGGTACCTTCTAAGGAGGTAGTTAGACCCCCTTTTTACCCCCAAAAAACCATCCTCATGGACTTGGAAGCTCTGAGTCGACTATTTCCAGCAGTTGTGATTTGGGAAGCTAACAAACACCTACTGTGGATGGACGAAATCCTGCACCACCTAAGAAACCCTGGAATGATTTGATTCCCCTGTAAATACCAACAAACAATGGGTTTCCCATGGCTTCAACGTGGTGCAGGATTTCGTCCATCCACAGTATGGTTGTAAGTTCGAAGCCAATTGTACCCTCAGAAAGTTGGAGGTCTACTAAACATGAGGGCCCCTCAGTTTTCCGTGCCATTTTGGAGAAGGACGCTTGAAGAGAGTTTGCAGGAGAGCGGATGCGGTTCTAGCTTGGGCTGTTTCACCCGAACCAATCACAGAGGCCACTGTTTTGCCTTGCTTTGGTGCCCTTTCAGGTCTAACATGCGGAGTTCTGTCCGTTTAGTCTTTGCATGCGTTTGGGTGGAGCGTTGACAGGTTTTGCCCCAAGGTGTTTTCCTGATTGGGGATCTGGGATAGGGGAAGACCGGGCCCCGCACCCCATAGACTGCCTTAAAGCCTTAGGGTATGTAGCCACATACCAAGGGCTTGCGGCACCCGTTTCTCCGGCCGGGTTCAACATCGAGGCCTTCCAGATTGCGCATTTGGTCATTTGGCATTCAAAGATTCCAATGGGATGTAAGTAGTTCATACTTTCAGGTGCTCAGAGTCTGGAATGGGTAACCCAGGGCTGAAAGGCCAGGGGAAAATGCAAATACCCACGAGGTCCTTGTGATACCTGAGAGTTACGACTCACGCGTCGACAGCTTTGTTTGTCCCACGCCTGAGTTTTGTTCATGCCAGGGTCGGAGTCGTGCAAACGAACACGCTCGGCACGTAAGAAGAGTTTTACCTGGCACCACATACTCACTTGCCCAAGGCCGACCTTTTGACCTTTTGGTTTTCCCGTTTTGGTCCATTTTTAGTAAAGGTCCTAAAAGGTTAACCTTTCATTTCCAGGTTCTTTGGGCAAGTGAGCATACCGTGTTGTTCCTGCAAGCCTCATTGCATTTGAGCTGTGCGTAAGGGCTTGATGCAACCGTGCCGACGTCACCGTGGCAGCGGTACCAGCCAGTCTCCACTTGGCCGGAGCAAATCGATCCAGTGCTTTGCGGGCGCCGCGAAAAAAATGGGGGACTCCGATTGAAAACGATCAAGTAGGAGAATCCCGAAGGGGTAGATAGAAGGTGCGTATTTGAGAGCCTTCGGGTTCCTTTGGGCTCCTTGAGGTTCCTTAGGGTGCCTTATGCTTCCTTATGGTTCCTTATGGAGCCTTAGGCTATGAGGGAGCCTTAGGGTGTTTCTCTTGGACCACCCCTGCAGGACTCCACAACCAAAGCTGCCCCTTGGCACCTCATAAAGACAAGAGGCAAAAGCAAATCCCCCCCCCCCCCCCGCCCGTTTTTTTGTCCCGCACCCACCAACTTCATTTGGGTGTGTGTGTGTGTGTGTTTTTGAGGGGACCCCCTGCAAAGTGATGGTTTTCTCTTTGGAATCCCTTCAGAATCATGAAAGCAAAGCGGGTACCCTCAAAAAAAGACTGACGACTTTGCTAAAGAACTTCTTGCTTATTTTCCCTGCTGGCTTTAAAGGGAATCGACTTCGCTACTGGAATTCGGTTTGTTCGTTTGTTTGTTTTGCTTTCGCGGCTGGTTAAGCAAATGGAGGCCAAGTGTTACAAGTATTTGGGGGGTACTTCAGAAGCAAAATCCCGAAGCTTACCTCTTAAAAACACAACTTTTCAACTTTTTGGGTAACATGGGCTATATGTCTGTAAAAGGTTAACTTCCCCACGGCTTGGAGTTTTAAGGGGTAAGGAAGGGAACGGCCGCTTCAGAGCGGCCCACCGGACCTCTCAGGCATCGCCCAAATTCTTGGACCCAGGGACGGCTCCAGGCGAAAGCAGCTCACTGGCTGAGTGGATGGCCCCCAAAAAAGTCCCCAAACTGTTTCTGTACCACTAAAATGGTCCTCCCAAAAAGTTTAAAGTTCATGAACTCAGGAAGTGAGGCAATGCCGTTACTTCGAGTTACCGCTATAGTTAGGTAACCAGGGAAAACCATGAAATGTCAAACCTGATGGTAGCCATACCGAAGAAAAACCCTGCCATAGTGGCGAAACGCCTGGAAGCAAACATTTACATCAAGATCCTGTTGATTGCGCTTAGGGGAGGGTTGGTTGTTTAAACGGTCTTAAAGGCCAAAAGGGTCCCTTTTCTCTACCTTCCCAAATACCAGCCAAAGCACCTACGCAAACCAACCCTCACATTTCCTTTCACAGGTTGGTTGGTTTTCCTTGAATTTTTCCAACCCAAAACAGGAACCCTCAACACGCCGGTTTCCCTTTTAGTGTGTTTCAAGGGAAAAGCACCAATTGAACCCCCGAGCTGACTTAAGGCCAGCTCTCATGTCTCGATCCGCGCTTTTTGGGTGACCTTTTTGTGGATTTCACCAGTTCTTCCCCTTCTTGGTTTCTTTAATCATCTTAAAACTCTAGGGGTACCTTCCCCATTCTTTCCAGGGATCCTTCTTTTCAGGAAGCCATCAAAAACCCAGGGGAAACAGCGATCGGTTTTTGAAAAGAACGATGGGCTGTGTATACCTAGAGTCTCCATGACCCTTTAAAAATGGTTGGTCATGAAAAAACGCGCCAAGCGCGAGGTCTACGACGACGCCACGGACTGGTACTCCGAGGCCGCCAACCCTTGGCTCTCCGAGCGCCAGCGCGAGGAGGCGGGGCCGGGCGCAACGGCGAGCGCCGCGTCGAATCGGCGAGCACCGAGGTGAGGATCGGAACTGGTCCTTGAAGAAACCTGGGCCTGAGGAATATGGGGGGTGGGTGTTGGATTTTTGTTTGGCTGTGCGTGTTTTATGTCTTTTTGTTTGTTTTGTTTTTTTGTTGGTCTTCCTGGGCATGTGTGGTTTGGTTGATTTGATTGTTTTGGTTGTTGGCTCTGTTCATGTTTAATAAAGGGCTGCAAAGGAGAAACATTCGAAGGGTATGAAAGGCTTTGTTCTGGTGGAACCCGCCCCACCAATGGGAAAGGCTGGCTCAGTTGGTGGTGCGCTTGCAAAGCTGGAACCCAGGATGTATAAACCCTTGGTTGAAATTTTGGCTAGCTGGATCTGTTCAGGGCAGGGGAGGTGTTCAACCGGTGCTTAAACCAATTAAACCAAGAAGCCGAATGTTTTCTTTTTCCCGCAAACCAACCCATCGTTTCGTTTTCCGCGTGGAGGAGGGAGAGTCCCCGTGAAATCAATCCAAGAAAAAATCCTAGTGCTTCTGGGCAAGCCACTCTAGCAGGTAACCCTTCGGTATGTCTAGCTCTAGGTTTACATCATGGTTTCTCCTAGGCAAGCCTAAAACGCCTGGAAGCTCTGGGCACGGTGCCCCCTCTTTCCCCCCCTCAAAATTATGTTAAGTCTTGTTGTTGCCCAACATGTATGGGGTGGTTTCCTTTTCTAAGGGTAGTTTGAGCAACTGTTTGAGGGTCCAGGTACCCAACAACGCACGGTGCCCCTTCTTTTCTCCCCTTGGGATAAGCCACCTGCCACCTCAGGAGCTTCCGGTGGGATGCATCCAAAAACCACCTGATTTACCATGAGGATCTTCGCAATCTGGAAAGTGAGATCATACCCTAGGAGTCCAAGACCTCATTTGAGTTCTTTAGGGGTCAAAGGCCCTCATTTTTAGGGTCTTGGGCTTGTAGGGATAGGTGACCTTTTGGAAAAAATGATGTTCCCCCCTGGTAGATGGTTCATAAATCCAACTCTCTATCCAACCAAACTACCCGATGACCGGGACACCTACTGTGGACGCGCGAGATCCATTGCGCACCACCGTTCATGATTCCCCAACGTAAATACCAAGCAGATTACATTACGGGTTCAACCATGGTTTCATTTCGTGGTGCGATTGTTGGATTTCGTCCATCCACAGTATGACTCTGATTTGTTGGCTGGCAGCTGGCATTTGCCTCGAGCTCCACCGCAACGATTCGATTCAGATTGGATGGCCCCAACACACAGTCCCGGGTGTCCCACTCAACGCGCCAGGCCAAGTCCAAAGGTGTGGACGAGGAGAGATTCTTCAAAAGCCCCGGAGCAGGGTCGGTCCAAGGGGGGGGTTCCCGGCTCCCGGGCACTCTCAAAAGTACTAAGGAACCTGAAAGGCTTTTTCAAGATGATCTAAATGGGAGCAGGGGATTCCGTTTAGCTTCAAGAGCCACGCAAACCTGGCAGCATACTATCAGCCACCCCCTTTGGATAACTTCACTGTTGCCATGTGTTATGGACATTTGCTTGTTCCTGGATCGCCAGTTGCTGTTTTTTGTTCCATGCACTTTTCCTTAAAAACCAGCAACAGTGGCTCAGAAAAACTTGGCTATCTAGGCAGGTTGTTGGTTCTGTGGGGGGGCTGCAAAAGCAAAAATGTGGTTTGCAAGCCATACTGTGGATGGACGAAATCCTGCACCACCTAAGAAACCTAGGGAAGGATGATTCCCCTGTAAATACCAACAAACAATGGTCCGGACCCTTGTTTTTTCTTGGGTGGTGCAGGATTCGCAACCATCCAGAGTACCTAATTGTTTTTTTAAAGCTAGCTCTTGCTCCTTCGGGGGGCTTTGGAGCAAATTTCTTCAACGGGTCCTGGACCCGTGGTGACCACTCTTGACGAGGTCCCCCAGCGAACGGTGCCCTTCTCTCACCCCCTTTTTTGGTTGGGAAAATTCCCCTACTAGAATAGACGTCCTGAAAAAAAATGGTACCAACTTATTTTAACCTCTCTACTGGAGGACCTAGTCCAGGTAATGTTGACTCCAGAGTTTCATCACCCAGAGGCTCCTGGAGCTTTCAATGGAAGACCAGACCCCTCCATTAGACACCCGAATCGAAGGTGTTTGGGGGCTCAAAACCTGGCTTGGCTGGAGGGCCCCAAATACATCGGGAGCCTATGCGTACAGAAAAAAATGTTACCAACTTATTCTAACCTCTCTACTGGAGGACCTAGTTGAGGAGGTCACTGGGCCTGCAAAGAGCCTTCCAACCAACCCCCAAGACCCAACCGAGTCCCAAAATGCAATTTGCTGCCCTCACAGACTCCAAAATGGCTTGCACTTCAAAACACAGAACCAACAGGGGTGCTTCGCAGAAAGACACGTTCCTTCAGACGTGCCGAATCTAGGAGTTGTGAATGGATCTTCCAAAGAGGTCGGGAGGTTCCTTCGGGGATTCCTTGTTTCAGGTGCGTGAGTCATAGTTTGCCCAGAGTGGGACAGATTTGTGCGCACAAGGAAATCACCCTAGGCGGCTTCTCGATGCGAAGTTTGTCAACCTGAGCATCGTTCGAACCAGCAAGGCTTGGTTTACCTGAAAGGCGCGACGTTCATCCGTACGTAGTCCTAGGAGCATCTTGGACCCTACCTAGAGTCTCCGTGACCCCCTAGGAAAAGGGGTCATGACCCCTTTCTTTTGGGCAATGACCCCATTTTTTAAGGGTCATGGAGAGTAGGTAAATATCAAGGTTGACCTTGTTGGGCCTCAAGAAAGCAAGCGCCCTTTGGCCCTTCTTCCGTATTTATGTAGGGGTATCTTCCATTTCCCCCTTCTTTCCAGGGATCCGAATTTCTTTCTAGAAACCACCCAGAAGAATCTGGAAAACAATGGCGATCGGTTTTTGAAGAGAAGGATGGCCTCCCCTGGAATCCGTCGCAGCCTTCTTGCTCCTCCAGGAGCGAAGGCGCCGGGATGAGATGCGCAAGATCCACGCGACCATTGACCTCTACGGCGCGGCTCTGAGGAATTTCTCGACTTCCTTACTTCCTGAGTTCATGAACTTTAAACTTTTTGGGAGGACCATTTTAGTGGTACAGAAAAAGTTTGGACTTTCTTGGGGCCATCCACTCAGCCAGTGAGGGAACTTCCGATCCGATCCACCCAGAGGCTCCAATTCGATGTATTTAGGGGCCCTCGAACAGCCAGGTTTTGAGACTGGGTCCCAAACACCTCCGATTCGGGTGTCGTTTTGGAGGGGTCGGGTCTTCCATTGAAAGCCGAAGCCGATCGGAGCCTTTGGGCAGAGAAAAAGGACGCTAAGGGCGCCAAGGAAGGCATGTTGTTTTTTGGACTTTGCTGTGGGTCAAAACCGATGGTACCATTTTGGGGTAGGTGCACCACCCATTTTAGTTTATTTTAATGTGGATTGGGATGTTCACTGGGGCTACGATTTGGTTTTTGACCCATGCCCATTTGTTTCTGGCATTACAAAGGACAGGAGAAGGACAACCAGGCTTTGTGGGAGACCAAGGGAAGACCAAGGGAAAACGTTGATGTCATTTAAGTGTCCTAAAGCTTTCCTGTTGTTTTGTGTTTTGTGTTGGAGAAGGGAAAGGATAGGGTTTTATGGCAAAGTGTCATGCTGTGGATGGCCAGACGCCTGCAATGAAGCCCTATGGATACTGGGACAAACCACCCACCAACCGGCGCGAAGTGGGTATTGTCCATCCGCAGTAGATGTCTTTGTTGGGTGTTTGGTTGACCATACATATCATTGATCTTAATTTTAGTTTGCATATGATGCCATTTGTCTTCTCGCAAGTAGGACTCCCACGCAGAATGGTCGGAAGGGACCCTTCATCGCGGCTACGTATTTGAAAGTCCAAGTGGGAATCCCTTGTGACATACTCATTTGCCGCTCTGGGGCATTCCCATTTAAGTCATTGTCTTGCCTGAGCGTTTCCGTAGGTAAGGGACGCCAACTAGGTTTCCCAGTAGTGCCCTTTTACCCTTTTTGGGGGGAGGGCTCCCCTACTAAAATAGACTACAGAAAAAAGGGTTCCCTTATTTTAACCTCTCTACTGGAGGACCTAGCCAACTGCAAAATCGGATTGGTTGCCATACACGGCTTCCCTTCCGCGACTCGCATTCAGGGCATCCGAGCCACCCCTCACGCAGCCAGTGGACACACTTTTTACACCTTTTTATTTGCTTTTGCTTTTTTGGGGTTCCCTCTGTTTTCCACTACCGGGCAAAACATATTTTTTTTGCTGGGGTCCTAATTCCAGCCAAGAAAAGTGTACCTTTTTTTTTGGCTGGTCACTGGCCAAGTGAGACCCATTTTGGGGTTAGATGTATTCAGCGACTTCGCGCGGGGCAAACCGCCAGGCCGAACCGTTATCGATACCAGCAAAGAGGTTGAGGCTTGGAGCGGCGGAGCTTAGGCAGTTGCAAAGAGAGGAGCGATTCACCTGCCTAACGTCCAAACCACCAGAGCAAATCGCCAAATATAGGGGTAAGGCAAAATTTATTCCTTCGTCCTTGTGCCAGTGCTTTCCCTTGTTGCAGTGAGTGGTTGCAAAGTGAAACTTCTGGGTTGGTCCAAATCTCACATGGCCGTGGGTCAACACCAATGGTACCATGTTGGGGTAGGTGCACCACCCATTTTAGTCTAATTATTTTAGTGGGGATTGGGATGTTCACTGGGGGTACGGGGTTTTGACCCATGGCCACATACCTGGAGTCTCCCTCTGACCTTGAAAAATGAGGAGTCATGGCCCCGAGTTTGAAGGGTCAGGTTTGGAGACTCCAGGTACCCCCGTAGTTCCAGGTCCCCCAGCTAGGTGCCCTTTTTATCCCCTTTTTTGGGGGGAGGGCTTCCCCTACTAAAATAGACGTCCAGAAAAGAAAGGGTACCTATTTTTTTGTGGGGGGTTCCCTACTAAAATAGACTACAGAAAAAAGTTGGTACCCTTATTCTAACCTCTCTACCGGAGGACCTAGAATGCTGGTTTGGATTGGTGGTTTGGGGGTTGGAGCCCCAGTTCCAGTTCCTTTTGACGCCAAATGGGGAATGTAGTTACTTCCTAACATCCAAACCAGCAGACCAAATCGGGGTAAGACGACAATCATTTGTTCATCCTTAGACCAGTGGTTTCCCCAGTTGCATTGTCCCACTACGAAGGATTCTTCGGGATCCCCGTATTTTGAACCTGTCTTTTCTTGGTTCCTTTGTTTGTTTCCTTGGTCGCTTGTTTCAGCAATTGGCCCAGACCTGTTTCTTGGACAAAATAACTACTCACTTCTTAAGTTGGGCTTTGTACTTTTTGGGACCATGTTAATGGAAAACCCAGAGGCTCCAATTCGATGCATTTAGGGCCCTCAAACAGCCAGGTTTTGAGACCGGGTCCCAAACACCTCCGATTCGGGTGTCGTTTTGGAGGGGTCGGGTCTTCCATTGAAAGCCGAAGCCGATCGGAGCCTCTGGGAAGTGAGAATGTCTGAAGCGAGTTCAGCACTCCCCAAGTCACAGCCTCCAGGAGTGCACATGCATAGTACACAGGCTGTTTGATTTCCTGGTACGTATCCCTAGACTCTCCATGACCCTTTAAAGGGGTCATGACCCCTTTCTTTTGGGTAGTGACCCCATTTTTAAAGGGTCACGGAGAGTCTAGGTATGATAAATATAGTGGCTATATGCTGGCAGTGCACTAGATTTGTACGTCTTTTTCCTGGATGGTAGTGGTTGGAGACTTATTCATTGACGAGGTGCATGGAACCTTATTTGTCAATTGCCCAGTGCGTTGCAAGTGTCCTTTTTCTCGCTTCCGGAGTTCCTGGAAAACGCAAATTCGGACTGGTGTTGGCCAATCCACTCAGGAAGTCAGGAAGCGAGTTTTTGGTGTTGGCTTGCCTTGGACACAAGCACGGAACATGCCCATTTTTCCTGGCTTTCCATGGTGTTGCTTCCTTGGTCCCCACGTATGTTGGTCGCTGGTTCCTCGTTGTTTTCCGTGGTTCCCCGCTAGTCTTTCCGGTTTTCCTTGGTTGTCCAGGCTTGGCCCTCATGGTCCCCGTTTCGTCTGTCTTTCGGTGGATCGATGCATTTATGGGCATTGCTTTTGATTATGGCAAGTGCTTTGGCGCATTTTGCTTGGATGTCAGGACTTTCACTTTTTGCCAACGAATGGGTTTTCCCTTAAACCACGAACAGTTACTCACTTTTAGCAGGGCTTCGCAGATTTCGCAACTGAGAGTGGATACAACTTAAGTCAACATAGTCAGCATCGACTTCCGTTGCTTCTTATTTTTTGCAGACCAGTCTTTTATTCATGACGGCGACATGGGTTGGAGCCCCTCGGTTGACCACCAGCTCGTGCTGCGGAGACACTACATGACTAGGATGAACCGCGAACTGGTGCGGGTTGGCGAGAGTTTGTTTTGTCCATCCGCAACTTCCATTTGCGGTTCAGAATGTATATCGTTCATTGTTATTATTATTATTTTTTTCTCCTGTTGGTTTTAAAGGGAATCGATTTCACTACTGGAAATGTGTTCTCATTTTTTCCAGGGGTCTTAACCAAATGGAAGACCATGTTGGCCCCGCCAGGCCCAGATCAAGAAGAAAGCCACTTTGCCGCATTGGGCTGCACATTCGGGCATTCGCATGACACCCATTCGCACTTGGACATGGCCTGGGACAGTTGTGCCTTCCCCGTTTTGGAGGCCACTCTTTTCTTTGTTGCATGTTGCTTGACTGTTAGGAGTTTAACTTTTCGCCAACTCATGGGTTTTCCATTAAACCACTAAAGGTTAAACTTTGAGCAGGGGAGCAGAAAGCAGTCGAGTTTTGCTGGTGGGGAAACCAAACGGCCTTACCGGTGGAACCAAACACTTGTAGGTCCCCCAGTCCTTGTTAATGGGACGTTTGAGGGGCGTCATCGAGGCGTGGCTTTTCAAATTTCTTTCCATTTTGGGCCGGCGAGAGCTAGGGTGACCATGGTTTTAGCCCACTAGCGGACTTACAACCATGGTAAGGGCTCATGACCATGGCGTAGCAGCCCACTTACTAAGTACCCTGCCCTTTTAAGTAGCTTCCCAATTCTTTCCAGGGATCATTCATTCTTTCCTGAAAGCCACCAGAAACTTGGGGGAAACAGCTGGTGGTTGAACATAATGATGGAGGAACAGAATGGGGAATCAACCTAGAGAGACGGCAATGAGAACCCTGTGCCTGGCAAAACCTGGTTCGAACAACCAGTCGACACTATCTCACTTGCCCAAAGCGAGTTGACGTTTTGACCTTTTGGTTTCCAGCAACTACCAAAAGTGCCCGTTTTCCCCATGGCCACTAAAACAGATTGTCCCCTTAGGGTTGTGTCTGGGTTTCAAGTCAAGGCCAGCCGAGCTGGCAACTGAAAGCATGTGATGGTTTGGACGTCCGAAAAAATGGTTAGGTTTGTGCCAGTTGCAAGGGTGGTCTAACCGGGGCTTTGTACTCCACACGGATTTGGGTTGCCGCTTACAGGAAATGCTTGGAGAAAACCCAACCTTGTTTTGCTCAGTTGTTCAGTGGCACCTTTTTTCCTTTTTTTTGGTGGCTGCCCCACTACAAATGGTCTTCCCCAAAAAGGGCTCCCTTTTTTTCCCGGGGTCACTGAACAACTGAGTTTGGGTTTGAAGGGAAACCAAAAGGCCATCCACCATTTTGCGGAGTCGCCTGAAAGGAAGACGCCCAAATCTCGAACCACAGCTGACCAAAACGCAGCACGTCTAAGTTCAACCAACCTGAGGTAAAGTAGGTTGTTACCATGGTTCTAGCTTGGGCAACTAGTTGCGGCCCCGTAAAACCATGGTGAAACACATACTAAGTTGGTTGAACATCCAAGTTGGCCAGATCGCGTACCGCACAAGCTGACCAAAGCCCAACTCTTGGTGCCAGCGAATTGCAAGCCCAGGATCGTGAACATTTCCAAGAATGGACGGAGGGCGTGCATCCGGCGTGTTTTTGATTCCGGCGACGTGCCCGTACCGTACCTTTGGCCCCTCTAGCATATGTACCATGCCCAGATCCAGGCAAATCACTATATATAGTAGGCTGGGTGAATTATAACGACCTCATGCAACCTAACTCCAAGTGGTGGTTTATGTGGGGAATAGCCCCCCCAACCACCTTGTTTCAGGTTGGTGAAATATTCTATTTCACTCAGGATAGGTGACTGCCGATTTTTTCCCTTGGGTGTTGGTGTTCACAGGGTGGTTCTCATACGGGGGGTGTCCTTCAAAATGAAGGCTCGTGGGCCCGGAAGCATCCACCATTTTGAGGTGGCGGGCCCTATGAGAACACACCCATTGAGGCCAATACACTCCTTTCTGCCAGGCGCAGGGATGATCTTGGATTCCTTAGGGGATTTAGACACAAAATGTGTGCCGGTTAAGGTTCGTAGGGAACCATCTGAGGAAAAACCCCGGCCCACAGACCTGACTCCTGACGGGACGGTTTTTCTTGACGGTATCCGGAGTGTCTACCTAGACTCTCCATAACCCTTTAAAAATGGGGTCATAATTCCAAAGAAAGAGATCAAATGGGCCTTTTTTCTAGGGCTCAAAAAGGAGACTGCCCACGGGATGGTATTGTGACGGTATCCGGATTGTCTAGGCATATCCCGGCAGACAGACTAACGGAAGCCGCTCGCTGGTTGGCTCGCTCGCCTGTTTCGCTGGCAGTTTTGAGCGTTTTCTTGCAATCCTCCAGGGTTCGAACATCGAGGAAACAAAACAAATCACTGACGAAAGTAGATCTATCTGGGTGAATTATAACGACCGAATTCACAACCGAATTCACCCCACATGGTGGTTCACGTGAAAAATAGCCCCCCAACCACCGCAAGTCTCAGGTGGGTGAAGTATTATAATTCACCCAGATCTATGATCTATGTGTTTTTTTTTAGTTGTCTTTGGTTTCCAAAGGTCTCTCCCGAGCCTCGGATCGAATCGGAAAAGGGAGCAACCATGATCCGCCCGAAAGGTTGGAACTGGAACTTGGTTGCCCAGAAAGGGGTGGCACAGGCCTCAATTTGTTTGAGTGGCATGAACTGGGAACCGACTCCCTGTGTCTAGGTTGCTCTCTTTTTACCTCGGATATGCTTGCACCGTGACAAAGGTGAATGTTTGCCAGGCTATGTCTGGGGTTTTCAGTATGTTCTATTTTCGCCGTAGGCAGGATAGAATTACCATGAAACACAATCAGATAATATCATGTTTTGTGTACCCGAGGCGGGGCGGTTGAGGGCAGAGGTTGGATCCTTTGAATTCTGAATATGAAAACTGAACAACATGAGAGAGCGCGTCACTATGGACGTGTGTTTCTGTGTTGGATGTGTTGAATTATCGTGTTTGTTTATTTATGTTCCGTTTGTATCCTGATGTATTTTAAACATGTTTGTTGTTTGTTTGTGAATTTCACTTGCGGTCTGTGCTGCAATGGATGGCTGGGATTGGAGCATGTGCTAGAACTTGTGCAGCAAACATGAGCGCCGAGCATTCGTTTGCAAAGTAGCTGTTTTGCTCTAGTGGAGCTCCCGATGTATTTAGGGCCCTCAAACAGCGCAAGCAGCCAGGTTTTGAGACCCCCAAACACCTCTGGGGTGTCTAATGGAGGGGTCGGGTCTTCCATTGAAAGCCCCAGGAGCCTCTGGGTAGGTAAGACCGTACAGACAGTCGAATGCGTTCACACGATTGTTCGTGGCATCATGAAAGACTTGAGAACCTGAGAGCTAACCTCGAGTTCCAGATCTAAATACAACCCTTGGGCGAACGGCTGCGAAGTACAACCAAAAACACTGGCTGCTAAGTACAAAAACAACAACAACAACAACCAAAAAACACCTTTTTGTATTAGGGGTGAAACCCCTCAAAGGTTGGTTAGTCGGATATATGATGTATGTATGATGCAGATCTGTCAGCCCCCATTTGCCCTCTCTTTTTTTGTTTCGTGTGTCACTTGGCGGTTTGGATTGGTGGTTTGCGGATTTGGACGATCCCCTGGTTCTGGAAGGCGGGTAAATGGTAAACCATGGCAAACCATGGTAAGCCCCTCCTGAACCACCAAACCACCGATTCGGCTCCAAACCAAACGAGGGAAGCTGAGAACACCGCGGCCAGACCAGCAAGAACGAGCGACTGCTCAAGATGCTGGAGGAGCGGCAAGTTCGAGCAGAAGTGCTTCCCAGGCAGTTCAACGAATCAGGTAATTCACCCTTTGGCAAAAGCCCCAGCCATCCGGTTCAACTTAGGTTTTTAGTGGGTTTTTTCTTGGTTTAGTGGTCGGGTTTCTATGTGTCACCTTTAGCAGGGGATCTGAGGACAGCCCAGCTTAGTTGGTGGATTGGCGGGATCTGATTTTCTGGTTCTTGTAGGTAAATGGGAAACCACCCCGAAACCAATCCAAACTGTTTGGAGGGAAGCTGAACAAGGACATGTTCAGGGAGAGATGGGGGTCTGGGGCAAAAAAGGGCTATGGTCAATCAAGCAACAGGTAAACCTTTTCACCCTGGCTTGTGTGTTTTTGTTTTGTTTCACCTGTGTGGGGCAAATATCCCTTCGAACTTGGCCAAACAAGAGGTGCCCCTTCTTTCCTCCCCGAAGGTCGGTTCTTAGGTGGTCGCGCTCTTTGGCGAGGAAGTGGTTCGTCCATTGGACCAGTGGGTTTCCTGAAACTTGGTCCAATGCCGCAACGCACCTTTTGGTTTCCCCCTTTCGCCGCAATCAGCTCTTCTCACTTCCTGAGTTCATGAACTTTACACGTTTTGGGCTTGGACCATTTTAGTGGCAATTCTAAAGTTTGGGTACTTTTTTTGGGGCCATCCACTCAGCCAATCAGCTCTTGGGTTTCTATCTCTAGGCCAGGTGGGTAATAAGTTTGCCTTCCTCTCCGGCTCCCTGGGAACCGGAAGCCTGGATCCATCTGGAAGCCTCTGGGCAAACCAAAAGGTGGATGTGGTTCCAAAAGGTGAGATTACGCGTTTTATTTTTTGAGGCCCCGGGACTTCAAAAGTAAATCCGCCGACCATTTTTTTTTCGCCTTCCCTGCTGGCAGAACCCAAGTTTTTCCCCTTTTCCGCGGGGAAGCCGTGGCATTTGAGGGGGGGGGAGCCACGGCAAAGACAGGATCCTGACCAGGCCCCCCAGTAGTGCCCTTTTACCGTTTCTTTTTTTAGGGGGAGGGTTCCCCTACTACAATAGACTACAGAAACAAAAAGTTGGTACCCTTCTTCAAACCTCTCTTTCCTGGAGGACCTAGCTGAAGAACCAGTATAATGGTTCTTATTCAGGGCACCGCGATCAGGACACAGAAGGAGTTTTGGCCATAGCAAGTATGGTTCTGCGTTTGGTAGTGGGGGCCTCAATGGAGGACCCTAAATATGAGGGCCTTTGACCAAGGCCTCAAATAATGATCTCCAAGCTTGGCTTACTCATGGCTAAATTTGGTTTTACGGTACTCAACCCCAGAATTACTTCCAGGTTGCCCTCACTTGGTGGTTTGGATTGGTGCTTTGGATTTGGATTTGAACCCTTGGCTTTTGTCGAGGGGAAATGGAAAACCCAGTCCAAACCACCAATCAGAGGGAGGCTGATACTTGCCCACAACTCCATATTTAGGCCCTTACATTCTGTTGTTGCAGAGTGTCAGGGCCGGGCTATTCTCAGACACACCCATAGTGAAAGCGCGAGCGCCATAGAGGTTTCATTGTTTGTTTGTGTCTAGCACATGGGTGCCAAAGGAAACACACATTTTGGTGGTTCCCCTATTTTGAGACAGGCATTGTTTGATTTGGAAAGGCAAATGACTGGCAGCAGCAGGACCCTTTAATTGAACAGCTGTCAAGTGGGGCAGAGTCAGATATATTGTTTGAGGTTGCGAAGCAAACCTTCTCGTCCATGTCATACGATCTGACAATCTTTGGTTTAGAATTTGCTGTTACACCAGCCATACGATTTTGGGTGTTGCCCGCCAGGAAGGTGATGGCTTCTGTTTTACATGACACATCCTCTAGGGTTCATCATGGGAGAACTAAATGAGTGCCGAAAGGCGGGGGGGGGGGAGGTCCTTCCTGTGGTTTCAGATTTCAGTCCCTGACAATTCCGACCTGCTTCGTTTTGGCAGTCTTAGCATCAAACCCGCGGGGATCGTAGCAGCACAACCCTTTGGCCTTCGCCGAAAGTTCTCTGCAACGATGGTGCACATGCCGGAGCGCCTTGGTTGGGGAAGGAGAGGGGGTGATTCGGTTCCTGAGTGAAAACCCGAAGGTGATTTGGGTGTGTCTCAAAATAGGAGACCCCCCCAAAACAAAAAGCAAAGAGAGGAGGTTGGTTTTCTGCGGGCTTCCTCAAACCACTGCGGTATCCAAAAGAGCTTCCTTTTCTGACACATGCCCATTTCAATGTGACCTCCCTTGGATCTCAAACTTTTGATATGAACTTCGGATTAATCCGGACAACATCTACGAATCACAACAACCCCAAGTTGACAGTTCATGTTCTTCCTAAAAGGGGAATCAGCTTTGATTCGCCCGGTCCTCCAGACTCATCCGATAATTAACGTTGACCCCACCAGTTTATTAGTCTGGAATCAGGCCACTTTGGGAGGGGCCAACAACCACTCCCTTGGCTGATGAATATGGGGTCAGCATTTTTCAGGCGCATGAAGCACCCTGCAAGATTTTGGAGGATCCCCTTTTGGTTGTAGAGGTGGTTGCTTTTGGTGTCCCTTTGGAACCATCAAACTGGGGTATCTAGGCAAGCTGGGGAATATAGGAGTCACGCCCACAAAGGATGTGTTGGGTTTCTGGGGCCTGTGGTGCGCGTCTTTTCTGCGTTTGAGTTTTTGTTTTCGTCTAAAGGTGGCGGAAATCGACACCATTGGGATCAACTTTGCTACTGGATTCGGCCACCCCCAACCTGCCTCAGAATCCGGCCACCCCTAATCCCTAAACCTGGAGCTGACCGTTTAAAAAATGGTTGGTCAGACTACCCAAAAGAAAGATTCGGTCATGACCAACCATTCTTAAAGGGTCATGGAGACTCTAGGTTCCTGAATTTGTTGACCTAACAGGTTTCAAACACCGACCAATTTTCAGGAAGGTAAGATTCCTGTAGGGGTGATTCTTTGTCCAAGCCTATCCTCACTTGCCCAAAGCGAATCGACCTTTTGACCTTTTGGTTTTCCCATTTTGGTAACCGTTTTTAGTAAAGGTCCCAAAGGGTGATCACCTTTTATTTCCAGGTCCTTTGGGCAAGTGAGTATCTTTGAACCATCCAAGACTTCTCATGGCGCCATGCCCCAATCCCAGTTACTATCCAACAACTTGCCTCTTGGAATTTGTATCGGGTGGTTCCCGTTATAAAACCAGGTTCAAGTGGAATCACGGGGATGGTCAAAGAATTGTCTTGATGGGGAGGGGAGAGCAGCCTTAGCTGCTGGCCAAGTCTTCCTGGTTCCCTGCTTGCAAGATTTGGGGTGTCTTTCTTGAGGGTACCCGTTTTTGGTTTGGGGGTTTCAAAGGAAAGCCAGAAGGACCACCCATGTATCAAGAGCGAATTACCTTTCAGGGTGTACCAACCAGCCAGGGTATCTTCCGTTTGGCCAGCTAGCCACCCCAACGAGAGGTGTGCGAGCTGACCCATGATGAAGGTTTTACTTTTTTGCGTGATTCAATTTCCCTGTATAGGTAGGAACATGCATGGGAAGTGAAAATCCTGCAGTGTCGGGTGGAGCAGGGTTGTCCCAACCCACTTTGAATATGTTTACAGACCGAGTGAGGCGCCCTTCCTGATGCTGGGTTCAGGTACTCCAGGGGCTCTTGGACTGAAGAGTCGCTTTTTGGGTTTGGGCCCTTTTTGGGTTTGGACTTCATTTTTTGCGAAAGTGAGAAACGTAGGGGTCAACCGGCTGCCAACCGTCTCGCTTTTTCGAGGCCTCCTGTCCTCGGTGCCTTGACCATGTACCCCTCCGTGCCGGTGAAGGGCACCTTTGTGCGCCTCGGCGACGGCTTAGCGGCCGATCCATGCCATGGATCCCAGGTAACCCCCGAGCGTTCACAGGTAAACCGTTGTGAAGCCACAAGGAGAGCGTCACCAGAGGTCTGAGTTTTCAATAAGGGGGATCTTCCAGTGAAATCTTCCGGCGCTTGCGCCTGAATAATGTTGACTCCAGATGTGCATCAACCCCAGCTTACGAAGAGGGGGTGCTCTTCCAGCTGGGATTACTGTAGTTGGAATCCCACCACTTTTGGAGGGGCCCGACCCCCCATTAACAAACAGAGGTTGATTAATATGGGGTTAACATTATATCCTAGGAGCCCAAGACCTCAAATTATGAGAGGCCCCAAACAGGGTCAAAGGCCCTCTTATATGGGGTCCTCGGGCATAGGCAACCCACATTTTGTTTCTTGGGATGTAACTCGGGTGGTTCCCGCTGGGTATGCGTTTGATGGGTCGTTGCGGGGTTCCCGTGTTTTTGTGTTAAGGTTACTTTTCGTTTGGGGACCTCCCTGTCCTCGTCCATGTTGGCAAGAGGCTGATAGTATGTTTCAGGTTTCCTTGTGAATGCAACGACCAACGGAAACTGAACAAAAATAGTTGGTTTGCAAAACAAAGCAAGCAGAGAATGGATGCCACTTGAACGCGTGTCAAGAAAAGCATATTCGGGGCCGCCCAACCTTTTCGTGTCCTGTCCGGGAAGCAAGTCATTTTATCCGGGGTTCCACTCTCACTCCTCGAGTTTCTGCATTTTATACTTTTCCAACCATTCTTTTGAACCATCGTTCTTTTTAAATGCCGATCTTCCCCTGGGTTTTTAAGATGGTATCCTGAAAAAAAATCGGATCCCTGGCAAGAATTGGGAGCCACGGTCATGTGCCCTTATCATGGTCGTGAGTGGGCTTGAGCCATGGTTACTAACCTAGCTAACTCGCTGATCATCTAAGCGGAGAAATCCGTGATTGAAAGCTTCCCCTAGGACACATGAGTGGCTCGGCTTTTTTGAGGCTCGGTACCCCTGTTTTGTGGGTGTTAAATTAAAGGGAAACCACAAGGAAAAACACCCCTAGAACTGAGTTGACCATCCAAAAAGGGGCAGGGCATAGCAGGTTACACAGCAATGTCCTTGTCTTTAAAGCCTGGTTCCCTTCATGACCACAGGGACATGGATTCACTGGGACATGCATTGTCCGCAAATGAAAAAACGTCCCTGTAGATGCCCCAGTCTTTTTTTGTTTTTAGCGGGAAACCAAAGGAACACCACCCTTTTTAGCAAAAAGGGGTATCCTCCAGCGGAATCTTCTTCAGCGCTTGCTGAATGTGAACCGGGGGGTGGGGGCACCTCCCAAAGTGGTTTCTTTCATTCCCACCAAACTCGGGGACACCCCCTAATAAACCAGGGGGTTGATCAGTGGGGCAACAATCGAGCTATTGCCCAAACTTCCATTTGCTTAAGGATATGTTTGTTCACCTGTTGGTTTTAAAGTTGGAATCACTACTGGAAATATTTGCTCATTCTTTCCAGGGGGCATTCTCCGCAAATGGAAGCAAGGCAACAGCATGGATTTTTCCTCTGTGCACACATGGGTGTGTCTTTTTGCTTAGAGACCCCTCCCCCCCCCAAAAAAAAAAGAAGAAGAAGAAGGAAACAGAGAGTAGATACCCTCTTTCCAACAATCATGGAAGTGCACAAAGGGGTTCCCCAAAAGGAAAATAGTCTTCCAAAGCTCTCCTGTCAACTTCCATGATTGTTGGAGGGAGGGTAAATGCAAGAAGAGAAGGTTGGTTTCCTGTCGGCGTTCTCAAAGGAATGCAGTGCTCCCTATTGTGAGACACACATTTCAATGTGACCTCCCGATCTCAAACCCTCTCCGATCGCTTGAGGCACTTCCACCAGGCCTCCAACCACTTCGACGCCCCAGAGATGGAGGCGGCGACCCTTTTTTTTCCGAGTTCCCGTTCTCATGGCACTTGTGGGGAAGATGAATTTCCTTGAGCGACGGGTCCCTAATTGCAGCGTGGGAGGGTTGAGGTATGTCGTTTTTTAGCCACATTTGTTTCTGGTGTTTAAAAGGAAATGCGAAGGACCGCGCATTTTTTGGGGGGTCCGAGCTTAGAAAGCCACACCTAGACTCTCCATGACTAAAAAATGGTTGGTCATGTTCAAAGGAATTGTGAGGAATTTAGCTTTACGAAGCGATTCAGATGTGCTATGCACATCGACTCTAATTGCATTGCAGTGACTATCATGAATCAATCAGAGTTAGTTGCTTTCTGTCTATATATCTTTTCACACGGTTTCTGAGCAGCAATCGGTGATCAAAAACGATTGGCCTGTGGCACCTGACAGGGACACGGTCCCTTCAACAGCAAGCCATGTTTTTCGGGTAACCGTGCGCTGGTGCTACTGTGGCTGGACCAAAATCCGCTTCCGCGCCGCGAGAGGAAACCATGGGAAGCCAGTGTTGGGTATTTGCGTGGGAGAATCAAATCCATCCGTGGGGTTTCTGAACGGCGCAATTTCCGGATTTCGCAACGGAATCCGCTGTACTGTGGAGGGTTGCGAAGTCCAGAAATCGCACCACCTAAGAAACCTTGCAAGAATGATTCGATTCCCCTGTAAATACCAACAAACAATGGTTCCAGCCATTGTTTCTTGGGTGGTGCGAAATGGATTTCGCATCCATCCACGGTATGTTTCATGGGGCCGGGAAGGAAGATCGAGGTCTATGGTCTTTGGGGAGGTTCTGGGAGAAGCCGTTTAGAAGGCTTCAAGGGGGTTAGCAATGCCCATATACATACGTACGTGCGTACGTACGTACATACAGCCGTGGTTTATTTTTGGGATGAGTTGTGGGATCAGAAGGGGTTGATCCAACCACTGTGATATCTTCGGGAATCCCCTGCTTAAACATTGGGGGAAGGGATAGGGTTTTGTGGGAAAGTGTCATGCTGTGGATGGACAGACTCCTCCTGCAATGAAGCCCTATGGACCTATGGATACTGGGACAAGCCTTAGGGTCCGAACATGGGGTGGGGGACGCCTCTTCGGAGGATAGGCCAGTGGATTCCATTTCCCACGTAGGAGCTGCAGCGCGGGCAGACCGCCCCGCCGGGCACCTGCCGTCACTGTGAGCCGGACACGGATGATGAGGATCTACTTGTCTTGCTGCGATAGGCAGTGGGATGGAATCTTAAGCTCACTTCCTGAGTTCATGAACTTTAAACTTTTTGGGAGGACCATTTTAGTGGTTCAGAAAATGTTTGGACTTTTTTGGGGCCATCCACTCAGCCAGTGAGATGGGGAAACTCAACTCATCAGGTTGTTGGCCTGAAGTGGAGAACTCGCCTTGCTGCGATAGGCGGGCATGGAGGTAGGCAGTAATCTACAAACAGCAGGACCGGGGCAACCAAGTCAACCCCTGAGATCAACCAAATCAACACGTGAAAGAACAAGAAAAGGCAGGAAAGGAGAAATGGAACGACCCCTATACATCATCCAACATCCAACTGGTGGTTTCCTTTAAGGGGTCTAAACCATCCAACTGGTGGTCTTTGAGATCCCTGGGTTGATTCACACATTCCCTACTGAGCATTAGCAAGTTGTTTTTGGGTACATAAAATGATTGTCACTCATAGGTTAAGAACCCTTAGCATGTTTGGAGGACCCAAAAGATATGGCGCCTGCGAATCTGCCCCGAAGCTTAAAAGGGTCATGCCCCCCAAAAGGTTTTGGTAGCCCAACTGGGAGCCCTTTGAGTCCCCAAAGAGTCAAAGGCCCTGATATTTAGGGGTCCAGGGGGCAAGGGAGAGACAGAGTTGTGAATGGTTGTTGGCTTGGGTGGATCCTCCCCACCAGGAGGAACACAAGGGGTTTCAGTGGATTTGCGTGGCAAACAAGAATCGTCACCCTTGCTTGGTCAGTATTTAAGAGGCTCCTTACAAGATTTCAGTTGACCAAGGCCAACCCTGTGATCTTTTGCTTTTCCGTCTTTCGTCCATTTTTGCTCATGGTCCCAAAAGGTGAAGCCCAAAGGACAACTACGTCCCCCAGCTAGGTGCCCTCCCACCCGTCTTTTTGGGGGAGGGTTCCCCTACTAACATAGACTACAGCAAAAAGGGTACCCTTATTCCATCCTCTCTACTGGAGGACCTAGACGATATGGGGGTTGATCAACAGATCCATGATGCATGGGATGACCAGGTGGGACACCACGAAGAAGATTTGATGATTTGCCACATGGGGACAGTCAGCCGTGGTCATGGCCGGCCGAAGGTCGACATACTGTTGGTTCAATCAAAGACTTTCCCCACGACCCTCAGACAGAACCACAAAGAAGGAATATGACAGTTAGGCTTTTTGTTGAGCTTACTTGCCTAATTTACTCTGATTTGTTTATTATCCTCAGGGGTTGTGTTATGGTATGTTTTGAGACCCTTCCCTGGTAGGCTGTGCGTGAAGCATCATGAATCTTACTGTAGTGGGAGCCCCGGATAAATAAACCCAACCTATTTTGGTAATAGGGGGTGTGGCCACTCTTTCCCACTACGCCCAGGGTCAACATTGCTTTGGATGGACAGACTCCAATTCGCAAGAGTGATGGATGAAACCCTCAAATGGCAGAACCTAAATCACCAAAAGCCGGCCACCAACTGGTGCAAGAGTTTGTCCATTCACAGTATCAAGGTCAGTCCAATATTACTTTTAGAGTCGTAAGAAGTGAAGCCACGCGAAGGTTTGGAAACCCTTTCCAGCCAGTCCTTCCTGATATTAGATCTTAGACCTTTCCAACGGCTCTTCTCCGGGTAGATGATGGGGATGATGGTCGATGCGCTTGGAATTGGCTCACGTAGCCCTTCAGTGGTTGAGGCACTAGGGGCTAATGTCAACCCCGGATTAAGCAGAACCCCTGGTTGATTTTGATTAGGGGGGTGCTTTTCCCCTTTTAGTGGTTGGATTCGGAGGGAACACCCCCCTAATAATGGGCCGGGTTTATTAATCCTGGGTCAACATTATGGGAGGCGGGCTATCCCCGGATGAAGCGCCGCGGACTTTTTTGGGGGTTGAGGTGGGTCAAAGAAGGGTGAGATACGCAAGCCTTGCTTCACCGTGGCTCGCTCCCATCTTTTGGTGAGCTTCCCGTCATGGAGAGTTCCCCTTAATTTAAAGAAGTTGTCCATTGAAAGGATGAAATTGGAGGAAATCCAGTTGGAACCAGTTGGAAACCATGGTTGAAAACGTTGTTGGGCATTTACAATCGACTCCAATCAACGGTTTCGGTGCGAAATGGCTGTGGCTCAAATAAATGTACTAAAATGGAAACCTGGTAATAAAACCCGCGGTTTGCCCTAGCTCCTTAATTTTGAGCCACACCCAAGTGGAGGGGCTTCCACTTTTGGAGGTTCCCTGTGAATCGGGGAACGGCCCGGAAGCGGCCCCTGGTGCGAGGAGGAAGTTACCTCCGGCAGCCCTGGGAGCTCTGAGGCCGGAGCGGGTCGTTTTGAAGAGAGCCTCCAGGTTAATGTGAACCCCGGATTAAGCAGAACCCCTGGTTGATTTTGATAAGGGGTTGCCTTTTCCGCTTTTAGTGGTTGGATTCAGACCACTTTTGGAGGGGTTTCCACCCCCCTAATAATGGGACAGGTCTATTAATCCTGGGTCAACATTACTGTGGATGGTTGCGAAATCCATTTCGCACCACCCAAGAAACATTTGGGTCCGGACCATAACGTTTGTTGGTGTTTACGTTGGGGAATCGAATCATTCTTGCAAGGTTTCTTAGGTGGTGCGAAATGGATTTCGCCACCATCCACAGGGCTAGAGGTGGGGGTGGGTGGTGGGTGGGATGCGTGGCAACCCTTTAATTGGTGATATGGCTGCGGGTCAAAAATAGGTACCCGATGGAACCGAGGACTGAAACCGGTTTTGCGGTGGTTTCATTTTGACCCAGACCCATACGGAGCTGGTGGGAGCTGAAGTTGGAGTGAAACCCGATGCTGGATGTTGGCATCCGTCAGGGTTGAAGGAAGAACCCATGAGTACTCATAGGGTCTGGGGGGCAGGGAGCGTCCTAAAAACCGATTCGGGTAGATGAAGGTTAGGGCCAATCCCATTCATAAACTCATTCTTGAAGCATGGTTCTGGGTTCTGATTGTGGCTCATATGGCTTAAGGTGTTTTTTTGGCTTAAGGGTCTCGTATGGTTTCCGGTTTTTGAAGCATTCTTCTTAACGTTTGAAGCATTTTAATACCGGGTTTTGATTGTGGCGCATATGACTTTGAATTCGAATAGGATCCTCACAAGTGGTTGGTGGTCTGATTTCCACCAAGCCGCCATCTATTAAAATAGGGGGGGTTCTCCAATCAGGTGGTGCCCTTTTGGTTCTCGCTTTAAACCACCCCCACAAAGGGAAACATGAAGTACCCTGGTTGTAGCCTTCTTGCCATTGTTGTAAGTTTCCCATTACCAGGGCAAAGCTAACCATCTACTAAGTAAGGATGTATATCGTTTTCTAGGCATAGGTAACCTTTTGTCAAAATAGATGGCTCTGGCAAACGGAATCAAACCACTCCAAAACAGTGGAACCCATCTATTTCTAACCAGACGCACAATGACATACCTACTGTGGGAGGACGAAATCCTGCACCACTTACGAAACCCTGGAATGATGACTCCCTGTAAATACCAACAAACAATGGTTTCAACCTTTGTTTCATTCCGTGGTGTGAGTTCGTGGGATTTCGCAACCATCCAGAGGACAAAAGCAACATGTGTGTGTGTGTTTGTGTTGTGTGTCAGCCTCTCCTGTGGATCTGCCTAGACTCTCAATGACCCGTGAAAATGTTTGGTCATTACCCAAAAGAAAGATTCGGAACATGACCAACCATGTTTAAAGGGTCAGAAGGCGAGTCTAGGTGTGGTTGGGCTGTGACACCGTACATGAAAAGCCGCAGGTTGCCGAGCTGGTCTCTTTCCCTCAGCTTGAGGCGGGAGACCAAGTCGCTTTTGCCCATGGAGCTCCCCCTAACAACAGCTAGATGTCCCCCTGCAGTCAGCCTGGTGAGTTGCAAGATGTTTTGGCAACTTTTGAAGGTCCTGTTTAAAATCAACTACCAAACCCTTCAACACACAACAAACAACAAACAACGGTGTGTGTGTGTGTGGTTCCTTACTGTAGAATGCAGAAAACAGGGCAGGGTCCACCATGTTTCGGGCAAACCGCTGGTTTGTTGCTTTACTGGTGCCGGTTGCGGATGTTTGTATGAGTTGTTTTGCTTGTTGAACTGTTGTAGGTGTTACGTCGCTTTGTGCAGGGGTTGTTCCCTTTGTCAACGGACTGCCTTTTGTAGGTGATATATTTTCCTTGTGTACGTGTTGCGTAGTTGTTGTAGGTGTTTTTGTTTGTAGAACATGTTCTGCTTGTGTAGGTGTTGTGCTTTCTGCTACAGTTTGTGTTGCTGTTTGTATGTTGGCGGTGTGTTAATGTTGTAGATGTTGTGTTGTTTTTGTAGGAGTTGCGTTGCTCTTTGCCGGTATTGCTTTGCTCTTGGTGGGTGTTGTTTTGCAAGCGGTTGGGATATAGTGTTTGTCTGCAGGCCTGTTGCCTTGTGTTTAGGACTGGTTTCGCGTCTGCTTGTGGACTTAACGTGTTTGTGATGTTCAGTCTGACCCTGCAAGCAGCGACGCCGGATGAGGCACAACGCGTTCCTTCCCACCTCTACACTGGAAGCAACACGAAGTTGCTTCAACAACTGGCGCTTCAAAATGTTAAAGCAGGTGCTGCCCCAACCCTGCGACGACACCTTTCTGATAAGCTTCAAAGAACATGGCACATGCAGTTCATGGGCATTTACTTAAATCAGTTTGCATCGCTGATATCATAGCCGCTAGTGCCCACCCCGAAAAAACCCAAAATGCCGGGGGCCCGGCCCCCCAACCTCCATTGAGCATACTCTTTAAACCGGTGCCGCTCTGAACCGATCCAACCACAATTTTTGTTTAAGAAATCAACTCGCAAAAGCCCAAAGCGAATCGACCGAAGATCGGACTGTTTGGGTTTCCCTTTTTGGGTTCCCATTAGTGCCAAAGGTGATCACCTGATCACGTCGGGGTCCAAAACTGGGTTCGACTAAGCACTCCGAAAACAGGTGGAGTGATTTGATTGCAACCAAGTTGGAGTGCGCATCTGAGCGTCTCCATCTAGGAACTTTCGTGAACACCCACAGAAAACGCATCCTGTCCCTCCCTTTTTAACCTTAATTTAAGGGTTGCAACCAAAACAAAGCGATCAGACAGCAACTAGTTCTCACTGACGACTATGGGGCTTCCCAAAGGAAAGAGGTAAGGGTCCTAGTTTTTGAAGGGTGGCTGCAGCCCAGCTGCCCTCAATAAAGCGTCTGTTCGGTCAGCATCCCCCCAGTTCTTCCCCAGAAAACCAACCGAACAGGCGCTTGTTTGGGGGGTTCAATCCCGTCCAGAGATCTAAGCTTTTGTTGAGGGTTGCTTAGAGCACCCACTCACTTCCGGAGTCTTTGAACTTTTTAGGAACACCATTCTAGTGGTATAAACAAACAGTTGGCACTTTGTCTGGCCAGGCTACTCGGGGGTTTTGAGCCCTTGGTTGTTGCGACGCGATCTGCTGATGCCCAGAGTCAGGCACCGGTCATGGAGGAGTTGTGCCGCTACACGACGCACGATCGCTTTGAGAAGCCCTTCGAATCGGACGACGAAGAGGGCACCTGGCTCGCAGAGAGAAATAAATGCAACCCCAGAGGGGCCAAGTACCGCATGCAAAAAGCTTTGGGGGGGTAAAAACGGGCTTAAGTACCTTCTTTGAAGGTACTTGGACCCTCTGGAAACACGTGGCTTGTTTCGTTTTATGTTGTCTAGGTCCCCCAGTCGTGCCCTTTTAGTGTCTTTTTTGGGGGGAGGGTCCCCCTTGTGGTCCCCCTACTAAATCAGACTAGATACAAAAAAAGGTACCCTTATTCGAACCTCTCTACTGGAGGACCTAGTAGTGGTTTTAATCAAAGCACTAAAAGTAGGACACTGGGTGATAAAAGTCAAGCAGGGGTATATTAATCTGTGCCTCAACATCTCCCAGTTGCTGAAATGAATATGTTATATTTTTATTCCCCACGTTCTTGTGTGGGGTTATTATTTTTACCTCTGCGCACCCGTCGCCCGCCCGCCCTCCCTCCCTCCCTCCCTCCCTCACTTACTCACTCACTCACTCACTCACTCACTCACTTACTCACTCATACTCACTCATACTCACTCATACTCACTCATACTCACTCATACTCACTCATACTAACTCATACTAACTCATACTCACTCACTCACTCACTCACTCACTCACTCACTCACTCACTCACTCACTCACTCACTCACTCACTCACTCACTCACTCACTCACTCACTCACTCACTCACTCACTCACTCTCTCTCTCACTCTCTCACTCACTCACTCACTCTCTCACTCTCACTCAGTCACTCACTCACTCAGTCACTCACTCACTCACTCACTCCCTCCCTCGCTCACTCCCTCCCTCCCTCCCTCCCTCCCTCCCTCCCTCCCTCCCTCGCTCTCTTACTCTCTCTCTCTCTCTCACTCACTCACTCACTCACTCACTCACTCACTCACTCACTCACTCACTCACTCACTCACTCACTCACTCACTCACTCACTCACTCACTCATGAGGATGTTTTCCCCGCACTCTCACTCTTTTTGAGGGTCCCTGTGAAAACTGAGAAAGCGCAGGACAAAAAAAGCCGCGGCGAGCGTCATCCAATATGTCCGCGTGAAAAACCTTAAGGTTTCGTCCTTGCCCCCTGTTTGTGTCACCCACCGCATGTTGTTTCAATAGATCCGCAGCGCGTTTGGGGAGCTCCGGCCACGCGGCAACCCGAGCTGGGTCGTAGGGTCGAGCTCTCCGTGGGAGGCGCAGCAGGCCTCCGCGGAGAAGGCGCGGCCCAGAAAGCGAGTGAAGGCCGCGTGGGTCGTTTCGCACACCGTTTTGACCAAAGAGCCACGCGAAGGAAGCTCGCATCTGGCTGGGTGGGCCTACTTGGCGAAAGGAGCGCTGAATTGAGAGAATCCCTTCTCCCGAATTTGTGCTAGGCGAGCCCTGTTCGATTTGTGGATACTTTGGGTCCTCTTCCGTCCTCGCCCATGGGCTCGTCCACACGGGCTCCCCCTTTCCCGGCCCTAAAAAACGAGCAAGGTTTGGTGTTGGAATAGCATTGTTCTAGTATGGGTGTAGTATTGGTGTAGTGTTTTCGCGCTTGTTAAAACGCCCCGTGCTTGATTGAGCTAAATTTGGGGCACTGTCTCTATGAATCTGTGCCTCTGGTTTTGCGTAGATTCGTGTGCTTTCTTCTGCTTTGTGATAAGTGCATGCCCCGCATATACCTACATAGATATGTATATAGATGTATGCACATACTGTATGCATGTCTAACAGCTGGTTCAGAGATGACTTCTTATGCTTCAGCTGGACAACGCGGGGTGTTCTTCTGGCCGCTTTTTACCCAGGCGCCGGCCATCCTTGTGGAGCTCACAAAGGCGGAGCTGCTCTTTTTAGGCCAGCTGGATGCCAGGACTTGCACCAGTGGTCCGGGACTTTGCGCCCATCACCATCCCAGAGTTGAATTTTCCTGGGCGAGGATGGTTGTGGACGAGGGAGGCGTGTGAATCCAATCAATGCCTCAAATCAGACGCTTTCTTTGTCAAACTTCGTGCCTCGATTGGTCAAAGTAATCCGCGCCTGCGTCAAAAGCTGAACAACCAGGCAAGCTGAGAAGCTGAATCTCTGGCAGACGCGCGTTGCTTTACTGGCTGTCGTGCTGCGAAGCTGCAACCCAGTCCCAGACTGCCACCTGCCACCGGAGGCCAGCCAGGCAGGAGGGGTCAGTGTGAAAGGTTCCAGGGCTGGGCTGGAACGGAGGTGCTGTCAAAGAGCTGAGGTGTTGCCGGTAGCGTCTTATCTTGCTATGGGATCCACTGGCCACAAAAGCATGATTTTGCAACCCTCACTTTCCTTCACATGGGCCCCATTTTTGCCGAGACGTGGGCTTCGGCTTCTAGTTCACCAACTTGTAGCTTGCTGGCTCTTGGCTTGCGAAAAGCCGTCGCTCTTGTTTGGGGGCCGGTTTTTGGCTCATTAGATGATTTCAGCGTTTGACCTAGGAGCGTTGGCTGTGGCCCAGCCGGCACGAAACGCCATGCTGGTGGTGCGCGCTGACTGCGGCGCACCACTGGCTTTGCTGGCGTGGCAGAGCAGCTCGCCGGTTGTCAGCCCAATCGTAGTCCGGTTTCTCCCGGCTTCGACCAAGGTTTTCGCCTACTTACAAACAACTCGCTCGCTCGCTTCTTTCCTCACCGACTCACTGACTCACTGGCTCACTGACTCACTCACTCACTCACTCACTCACTCACTCACTCACTCACTCACTCACTCACTCAATCACTCCCTCACGCACTCACTCCCTCACTCACTCACGCACGCACTCACTCACTCACTCACTCACTCACTCACTCACTCACTCACTGCGCTCGCTCGCTCGCTCGCTCACTCACTCACTCACTCACTGCGCTCACTCACTCACTCACTCACTCACTCACTCACTCACTCACTGACTCACTCACTCACTCACTCACTCACTGACTCACTCGCTCGCTCGCTCGCTCGCTCCCTCACTCACTCACTCACTCACTCACTCACTCACTCACTGACTCACTCACTGACTCACTCACTCACTCACTCACTCACTCACTCACTCACTCACTCACTCACTCACTCACTCACTCACTCACTCACTCACTCACTCACTCACTCACTCACTCAGCTCCTCATATTCGATAGTTGGGGTCTTGGGCTCTTAACTCATTTCGACGCGACGGACTCCAAAGCGAAGAGCAAAAAACAAAAACGAGACTGCTAGAAGCCACAAAGACAGCGTCAGGCCTCGTGAGTGTCAGCCAGTGTCTCTCTTCCTGAGTTCCCGGACTTTAAACTTTTTGGGCTTGGGCCATGTTTTGTTGTAAACAAAATGCTAGCACTCATGTTTAGGGTCTTGGGCTGGTAAAAAAATACTTTTTGTTTGGGCTATCCGCTCAGCAAGTGAGGAGTTACTGAGAAGCAAAAAAAGGGCCCAGTTGACTTATGGGAGCATGCTGCCGTAGGCCAACCGGCATGCATTGGATTCCTTGCCTTTTAGAGGTTTGCTTCTTGCGTGCAAAAACCACGGGAAAGCTGGGGGCGTATAGCAGACTGCAGCCTGAAATCGGGTGCGGATAGTAGCGGCAGCGCCACAGCAAGTGTTGCAAACCGAGGTTCCAGAGTGGGAAGCTTCAAGGCCCCGAGAAAAACCAACAACACGCTGCTCAGCCGAGACCTGACGTGCAAAGTTCACCAATGGCCCAGTAGTAGGTCGTGTCTTTGCCCTCCAATGTGCCCACCATCGCTTCCTGCCTGCCTGCAAAGTGCTACGTGGCCACGTCAACAACCTAGAGCGCAGTCAGCCACACTTAATATCAATCCCACTTAGCCCCAACACACTGTAAGAGATATAGAGAAAACTATATTGAATGATACCAGGAAGTAGCTCAATAAATCCCAGTTACCGCTATGTTAGGAAAGTAGCAATATTCCCCTACCTGGAGCCTCCAGCTGTTGTAGACATACCGTGCATGGACGAAATCCTGCACCACCTATAAGAAACCATGGAACGAGTCGATTCCGCAACAAGGGGTTTCAACCATGCTTTCAAAAACGGATTTTGTCCATCCACAGCATCAACCCATCAAACTTCATCAATGACGGCACATCTTTGTTTAGCCGGGCCTTTAACTCATGGTGGCTCGTTGTTTTTAGGGGAGCCCCTTTGTTGCAGTTTTAAAGGGAAACCAGTGGAGCATCCAATACGGACCCATCTGCAAAAAGAAACCATCTGAGTCAGTTTGCTTCCCAGGCGTTCACAGAGAATTCTATGCGGCCCAGGAGGTCGGGATCTTCGGTTCGTGACGTGGCCAACCTTGGCCGGTTTTTTCTTCCAACGGAGCTGCAAGGTGCCCAAAGCCGACCTTTTGACCTTTTGGTTTCTCCTTTTTTGTCTAGAATTAGTCATGACCCCAAAAGGTTAACCTTTTATTTCTGGGTCCTTTGGGCAAGTGAGGGTGGCATGGAAACTCACCCAACAAAGGGTGACACAAGTTGAACCTCTGGTTTGTTTGTTGAGAGTAAATGGGAAACTGCCCTTAAACAACTTGGTCTGGGTTGCCAGGGCACGACTTGGTTACGGGGTTTTGTTGGGGGCAAGGCTGCAGCCAACTCCAAGATGGAAAGAAACGGGTTACTTCCATTTGCTTAAGAAGAAAGGGTTAGTTTCCCTTGCTGGTTTTAAAGGGAATCTATCCCTGGACATATTTGTATTTTTGTTTGCGAGGCTTAATAACATGGAAGACTAGAAAAACCTGGTCGATTTTCCTCCCTCTTTTGGAAGACCAGTTGGCTATGAATTCTAAAAGGGAGTAGCCTCTGAAATGGTTGATGGACAAGAGTTCCACCCTAAATGGATATCCACCAACTATGAAAACTCACACCGCATGTAGCAGCAACCAAAGCTTCCACTTGTGTTTTTGCAAAGGGCTCACAACCCCTTTTTCTAGGGGTCACGGAGACTCTAGGTAGTTTGCCCACCTATTCCGTGCCCCGGTCTACCCTAAGGCCTTTGTAAGGCCGTGCCCGGTCCCCTCCAGGCTATATCCCCTGTTTAGCAGCCAACTTCTGTTGGCCTTGGGCGTGTGGATGAACAACCAGATGATAAGTGGTTTGTCCCAGTATAGGGTTTCATCCACACCCAACTGCTGCGAAGTAGTTGTTGTTTTTTGCACAGTGTTTAGGCTTGTCAACTGCTAGCCCTGTGGGTCTTTGGACTGCCTTATTTAGGACACCCACTCTTCCCCTCCCACAGGCTTGGGCTAGCAAGCCTGTTAAAGACCGAATTAAGAACGGCAAACCAAGAAGGCCACCAATTGCGCCGGACAAGGCCTACACCGGCCAACCTTGCTGCAACTGCCACATGGATCAAAATCAGCAACCTGTGGATGCACGAAATTCTGCACCAGCTATAAGACACCCTGAAATGATTCGATTCCCTGTAAATACCAACCAAATGGACGAACTCCGGCACCAGCTATGGGAAACCCTACTACAAACAAAGGTTTCAACCAAGGTTTCTGGATTTCGTCCAGCTCACCACCCACCCCACAGCTCACGCCGGCTCCTTTTTGGCTTTTGGTTTTCCAGGACCCGGCTGCACAGTTTTACCCCGGCATCCTTCCGCATCCAGAAGGCGCGAGTTCAGATTTCGCGGGGATTTGGGGCCGGTGAACACACACAGTCCGCGCGCTTACGAAGATTTGGTTAGTCTTTCCTGGCTTTGCAGCCAGCAATGGACATCTACCACTACTAGACTGTTATTGGTTTTTCTTCGGGGGACTTCAGGAAATGGAGGGTGGAGTCCCATATTTGAGGCCATCCCGTCTTTGTGACACATGGGGTCCCGATTAATTGTTACCTTCAGCCGGGTATTCAAGCATTGCCCTTTGCAAAGGCCACATTTGTGGGGTGATCCATGTGGGTAGCCCTGGTTGCCCCAAAGAGCCTGAGAGAGTTCCCAGCCAATCCGGTGTTTTTCGTGGAAGATGGGAGTCATAACCCGGTTGAGGGGGAGAACATTCTAGCCCCCGTTCAAGGATCCATTTCTGGGCAATCCCTGGGAAAAGTCTTGGCAAAATTCGCAAGCAAAAGAAGGGCGAGATTCATTTGGCCATGGGTCAAAACCAATGGGATCCCATTTTGGTTGGTAGGTGAATTCACCACCCATTTTAGAACCTATTTGGGATGTTCCCTGGGGGCGAACCGATTTGGGTTTTGACCCATGGCCAAATAACCCTTTAGCGTGGAATGGACTTCAACCCCGGGTGATATGCGAAGCCACCTCCAAAGCACTGGGCTCCAAACCACCTTTTCGAGGGGAAGAAACACATGTTTCTAGGGGTTGATTCCCCATTCTTTTCCAAAATCTGGCCGCTTTCCTGGGTTTCCGGAGGTTTTCAAGAAAGAAGGATCCCTGGAAAGAATGGGGAAAGTACCCCTAGAATGTTGTTCAATCGGGAAACACCTCAAAAATGGTTGGTGGAAAGAGATCCCCCTTACATGATGTTCACCAAAGGTGCCTCATTAAGAATCATAGCAACATGTGTTACAACCTACGGCTTCCTCAAATACCCAGACTTTTATATCGCTCAACTGGTCTTTTGTACTACCTCCAGAGCCGAACAGCCTGGCCTGGCTGCTAAGCTAAAAAGCGGCAAACACTTCAAACATGCGGACTAAATGGAAACAGTACAGCTACCTCTTATGACTTCAGCCAAAGCCCCCTCCACACATTTTCATTTGCTTGGCGCTGGTTGCCCCAAAGAGCCTGCATTTCTGCGGTGTCCAACTTGATAGCCACAGGGTTTTCGGGGGGAGACCCCCAAAATGTCCCTTTAAAACCACACACACACATTTCCCAGAACGGTGGATGCCCCTGTCCTATTGCAAGTGGAAAACTGTAATTAACCATCGTTCGGAGGTTAAGTACGACTGGTTTACCATGTCTCACTTCCCGAGTTCATGGACGTTAACCTTTTTGGGTTTGACTCATTTTAGTGGCATTCCCAACACGTTTCTCGACTTTTCCTGGCCAATCCACTTGATCGCCAGTGAGATATTAAACAAGCCAAGTTGATAAAGCCCTTCCCCCCCGCCCCCCAGTTCACCCGAACGGGGATTCGGGATTCATCACTTTTGGAGGGACACCCACCGCCATATATTTATAGACAAGGTCTTTTGTTAATCCGGTGTCAACATTATGTCAAACAATCCCAGCACAGCGGGGTTATCTCAGTTGTTCAAAACAAATCGACCTTTTGACCAGAGTTTTCCTTTTTGGGCTCAACCATAGGTGTCTCACAAGGTAATCACCTTGTATTTCCAGATCCGAACTGGGGCAAGAGTCTAGGGGTTGCGCAGTGGGGCATCAACCGATTTTGTCCATCCTCAGTATAGGGTCAACATTGTGTTGCTTCATATCTGGCGGGGTGGCTTGCTGGGGAAATTGTCATGTTTGCCGATCGTTTTGAGGATTTGGTGAAGGAGCCTACTGTGAATGGTTGCGAAATCCACTTCGCACCACCTAAGAAACCTCGGGAATGATTCGATTCCCCTGTCAATACCAAAAAACGTTATGGTTCCAGCCATTGTTTCTTGGGTGGTGCGAACTGGATTTGGCAAATGTCCTCTTGGATTAGGGAACTGGATCATGACTTGCATCCTTGCTATTTCCACCTAGAGTCTCCATGACCCCGAGAAAAAGGGCCCATTTGACCCCTTAATCTTGGGCAATGACCCCAAGATTTTGGGTCATCGCCCCATTTGTTAAGGGTCATGGAGTCTCCCCTTTCGCCGACTCTCGAGGCTCTTGGGGCATGGCCCTGGAGGAGATGCAGCCGGAGATGTCAGGCGGGACCGGAACCCGAGACGAAACGAGACGCGAAGTTGGGCCGTGCGGAGTGGCGCTCAGTGGCCGAAGAAGATGATTTTTTATTTTATTTTTGTAGGTACCCCCGCCCAAAGAAAACAAGAGGAGCCCGGGAACCCAAAAGCAAACCAGCCTCACTCCCCATGGCATGTGGATCCCGTTGTTTTCCGGCTCAAGGGTCCGAAGGCAAACCAAGATTTAAGTTGTTCACAGTTGGGAAATCAACCCCAAAACAGATGAAGAAGGGGAGCAACCGCGACTCAAGCCGGATTGGCAGCCAGCAGCCTGTGCTCTGACCAAGCACAGAGAAAAAGGCAAAGGCACGGGTGAAACATGACAGGCCCCGCACTACATGGAAGGCACGAAGTCATCCAATCCCAGAAATCCGAAAATGGATCCGCACAAACTACCACTCCCAAATTGGAAGCAATCCATAAGCTCGCTCTACACCCATCTGAAACAAGTCTGAGACACAGTGTTACAACACGATCGGAGTAGACCGGGGTCAGCTGTTCGGATGTTCATGCGCCCTTTTGTTTGGGCCGAGTGTGCTCAGCATATTCATGTCAACGTGCCTCCAAGGCTGCTTCCAAATAAGTAGGGCGAACCCCAGGAGGCCACAGACTCTGAAGAGAGGGTTCGTCCTAGAAACACATTGTCGCCATTTGTTCGGGTCAGGTGTGCGGCACGGGCTGTTCACATGGAGCCGTGCACGTGGCCTTCACAATTCACAAACTTGCTTTGTAAGCTTGCTTGGATTCGATAGTTTCTCCACCCATTTTCCCATTCGCAACCAATTGCAACTGGTGACTTTGTGGAAAGGGCCGCGCACGTTGTCAATTGGATGCGCGTGGATGGCAAGTTGGGTGGATTCGCCGCAGGTGTGTGGAGACGGGGCCGGCGCTGCGCTTTTGCGGGGGGCTCGGTGTGGACAAGCCTCGGTCACTTGGTGGGTCTGACGCTGTCCGAAACAAGTCTGAGACACAGTGTTACAACACGATCGGAGTAGACCGGGGTCAGCTGTTCGGATGTTCATGCGCCCTTTTGTTTGGGCCGAGTGCTCAGCATATTCATGTCAACGTGCCTCCAGGCTGCTTCCAAATAAGTACAGTAGGGTTCGTCCGAACCCCAAGAGGCCACAGACTCTGAAGAGAGGGTTCGTCCTAGAAACACATTGTCGCCATTTGTTCGGGTCAGGTGTGCAGCAAAAAGGACAATCTTGGCGCACCTGGAACGCCGGGCTGTTCACGTGGAGCCGTGCACGTGGCCTTCACAATTCACAAACTTGCTTCGTAAGCTTGCTTGGATTCGATAGTTTCTCCACCCATTTTCCCATTCGCAACCAATTGCAACTGACTTTGTGACGATGCGTGTGGATGGCAAGTTGGGTGGATTCGCCGCAGGTGTGTGGAGACGGGGCCGGCGCTGCGCTTTTGCGGGGGGCTCGGTGTGGACAAGCCTCGGTCACTTGGTGGGTCTGACGCCTGTCCGAAACAAGTCTGAGACACAATGTTACCACGATCTGCGTAGACCGGGGTCAGCTGTTCGGATGTTCATGCGCCCTTTTGTTTGGGCCGAGTGTGCTCAGCATATTCATATCAACGTGCTTCCAGGCTGCTTCCAAATAAGTAGGACGAACCCCAAGAGGCTACAGCTTCTGAAGAGAGGGTTTGTCCTAGAAACACATTGGCACCGTTTGTTCGGGTCAGGTGTGCGGCAAAAAGGACACGGGCATGTCACGAGTGTCCACCGCGCCAGTCTCAGTTTCCGCATGCACGAGCGTGTCACCGCGCCAGCGTCGCGGGCTGTTTCCGCATGTCACCGCGAAACAGCGCCACGAGCGTCGCCACAGCGCGCCACGCATGTCACGAGCGTCCACCGCGCCAGTCTGCTCGCGGGCGGTTTCCGCATGTCACGAGCGTCCACCGCGCCAGTCTCGCTCGCGGGCGGTTTCCGCATGTCACGAGCGTCCACCGCGCCAGTCTCGCTCGCGGGCGGTTTCCGCATGTCACGAGCGTCCACCGCGCCAGTCTCGCTCGCGGGCGGTTTCCGCATGTCACGAGCGTCCACCGCGCCAGTCTCGCTCGCGGGCGGTTTCCGCATGTCACGAGCGTCCACCGCGCCAGTCTCGCTCGCGGGCGGTTTCCGCATGTCACGAGCGTCCACCGCGCCAGTCTCTCGCTCGCGGGCGGTTTCCGCATGTCACGAGCGCCCACCGCGCCAGTCTCGCTCGCGGCGGTTTCCGCATGTCACGAGCGTCCACCGCGCCAGTCTCGCTCGCGGGCGTTTCCGCATGTCACGAGCGTCCACCGCGCCAGTCTCGCTCGCGGGCGGTTTCCGCATGTCACAAGCGTCCACCGCGCCAGTCTCGCTCGCGGGCGGTTTCCGCATGTCACGAGCGTCCACCGCGCCAGTCTCGCTCGCGGGCGGTTTCCGCATGTCACGAGCGTCCACCGCGCCAGTCTCGCTCGCGGGCGGTTTCCGCATGTCACGCATGTCACGTCCACCGCGCCAGTCTCGCTCGCGGGCGGTTTCCGCATGTCACGAGCGTCCACCGCGCCAGTCTCGCTCGCGGGCGGTTTCCGCATGTCACGAGCGTCCACCGCGCCAGTCTCGCTCCTGGACGCTCCAACGTTGCGCAAAGGACACCGTGGCCTGCATTTGGCATCATTCGCACGAGACGAGACGCCACATGCCATTTGCAGCCTCGTGCGAGAGCTACACACGTTCGCATGGCGCGAGAATCGGCGGTCCGCGGGCCCCGGGGTCGTTTTTATTCGATCGTATATGTACATATATATAATATTGCCGGCAAACTGCGCAGTGCGAGCTTGCGCGGTCGTGCGACGCGCCACACACGTGCCGCGTTGCGCACGACGCGAGTCTTCAACAAGCGTGCGACCTCCGTCCGCGCGTGGGATGCTGCAACATGACGCAAAGCCCTTTGGCCCGGTTCGCCGCCGGATGCTTCATGCGGATCTTGATATCAACTCACGCAATCGATGTTACAGCGGTAGAAGCCACGGCGGGGCGCGCAACAGGCTTGTGGCTTCCTGCGCTTCAACACGGATGACTCAAAATGATGCAGTCGTGAACCTGGCGCGCGTTGCGTTGCTGCACGTGTGTTGCTGGCGTGTTTTGCGCTTCAGCACCCCCCACACCCCCGAACCCCCCACACCCCCTTTAAAGCCCACACCCCCCACACCCCCCACACACCCAAACACTCAACGCTTCGCGACAAGAATCTGCGCTGTCTGCGCGCGCTTGCGCGTCTGCTAGCAGTGTGTGTGTGTGTGTGTGTGTGTGTGTGTGTGTGTGTGTGTGTGTGTGTGTGTGTGTGTGTGTGTGTGTGTGTGTGTGTGTGTGTGTGTGTGTGTATGTATGTATGTGTGTGTGTGTGCGTGTGCGTGTGCATGTGTGTGTGTGTGTGTGCGTCTGTGCGTGTGTGCGTGTGTGTGTGTGTGGGTGTGCGTGTGCGTGTGCGTGTGCGTGTGCGTGCGCGTGCGCGTGCGCGTGCGCGTGCGTGTGCGTGTGCGTGTGCGTGTGTGCGTGTGTGAGTGTGTGCGTGTGTGCGTGTGTGCGTGTGCGCGTGTGTGCGTGTGCGTGTGTGCGTGTGCGTGTGCGCGTGCGCGTGCGTGCGTGCGTGCGTGGGTGCGTGGGTGCGTGGGTGCGTGGGTGCGTGGGTGCGTGGGTGCGTGGGTGCGTGGGTGCGTGCGTGCGTGCGTGCGTGCGTTGTTTGTGTGTGTGTGTGTGGGTGTGCGTGTGCGTGTGCGTGTGCGTGTGCGTGTGCGTGTGCGTGTGCGTGTGTGTGGGTGTGTGTGTGTGTGTGTGTGCGTGCGAGTGTGTGTGCGTGCGTGTGTGAGTTTGTGTGCGCGTGTGTGTGTGTGCCTGCGTGCGTGTGTGCGCGTGTGCGCGTTTGTGCGTGTGTGCGTGTGTGCGTGTGTGTGCGTGTGTGCGTGTGTGTGTGTGTGCGCGTGTGCATGTGTGCGTGTGCGTGTGTGCGTGTGTGTGTGTGTGTGTGTGTGTGTGTGTGTGTGTGTGTGTGTGTGTGTGTGTGTGTGTGTGTGTGTGTGTGTGTGTGTGTGTGTGTGTGTGTGTGTGTGTGTGTGTGTGTGTGTGTGTGTGTGCATGCGTGCGTGCGTGCGTGCGTGCGTGCGCTTGCGCGTCTGTCACGCGTGTCTGCGTGAGTGCCTGCGCGCGCTGCGATTTGCAAGCTTGGCCCGCACGCTCAGTGTCACAGTTTGAGCAGGCCACCCAACACATCATCAAAGTTTTGGAGCACGCTAAAGCTTGAACCTGGGAATGGGTGACTTCGCTTTCGACCCCCTTTTTTTAAACGCATGGACCCCTTCCGCCTGATCCCTGCAGCTTAGATTGGTGGTCAATTGCGTTGTGGCCCTTCTACAGCGCCCCTTAAATTATGTCCATGATTCTTGAGTGGCCCAGTGACCCGAAATAATTGAAACACTTGTTGGGAAAACTTGTGGCTTGATTTTTTCTGAAGGGCCGCTGTCACACAGACAAGTTGCTCAAGAGCAAGGCAACATTTTCTGTGAGGAAAGCAAGTTGAGGGGTAGCCTCGATTGACCTACCATGTCACTTGGAGGGGCAGCCTAACTATCATGTGGAGCAAGCGGCTTTTGGAAACAGCAGACCGTGCAGCCGAGCCATGTTTCGCTTCGCACCTGCCCCAGCGTCGCGGCGAAGGCTCGGGAGCTCTTCGGCACATGGATCTTCAAAAGATCTACCCCGCAAAGCAAAGTTTGCGCTGAAGCACACATTTATACGAAGATGAAAATCCCATGTTACGCAATGTTGGGTTGGACAAGAAACAGCGCAAACACGCTCACACCAACTGCCGCCTGTGTTGTTCTAAGAACAAGGCGAGGCACACCAAGTATCTTTCTAGGACTCGCTTGCACATCGTTGCCCCGTGACACTTCACGGCGATGGACTTAAGCTTGCCCAAGAAACTTTCCTCCGAAAAACAGTGAAACACCCAAGCGTTCAAACGCCATGTCTTGACCTGCACAGCTGTGTGCCACAAGTAGTGGCACTTCGGTCGCATTCGGAACTGCCAAAGGTTCTGGCCTTCGTAATGCGAAGCCAGAAACTGGTAAGACCTTAAATGCCTGAAGAGGCACTGGCTAGCTTCGGCAGAAGCTTGTTGGGAGAGAATCATGCCGTGGCAGTCAAAGATCTCAACCGCCCTGTTCAGGCACCACGCGCAGGCGGCCAACACCTGCAGCACTTCATCCTGAGGCTTGGTCAACTGGCGCCTGTTTCAAGGCTTCACACCCAATTTTACAAGCTCAAGCTAGGTGTCCCCTTCATAATGGCAAAACAAAAGGGTAAGCCTGAAAGGTCTACCGTAAAATGGCAGTTTGTGAGCCTGTTTGAAGTCAATATGAAGGCGCTCTTTTAAACAATACGACTTGATAGCCAAGATGCATCGCTTGTGTTTGCAACTTGAGTTGATTTCAGAGCAAGCCACCAGACCAAAGTCTTCACAGGCGACGCTTTGAACCTTGACCCGAGCTCTGCGTAGTCTTTGCCGAAGTTGCAATTTTTCACAGACAGCCGAGGGCCAGGGAAACTCAGCCTGAGCAATATCTTATGGAACAGGTTTCTACTCACAAATCTGTTTGGCAAAAAAAAGAATGCATGCTTCAAAACCTGTGCTTTGACAAGGCGCCCGTGCTCTTTGCACGTTGCTTGCAGCTCAGCCGTCACACACAACAGCACTTGGTCCACATCTTCCCCGTAAGCTTCGAAAACGCCCTTCTGAATCAAAACCCTCACGCCAGAGGCGACAAAGTCTTTTGCCGTTCCGAGGAAACAGTTGTGCATAAAGTCCAGGCCGTTTGTTTCTAATGTCCAACCTGGCATTGAGCACCAGTCTGACACTGTGTGAGTCGCCATGTAAGTCTGGTGATCTAAACCAGTCATGGCGTAGGGTGGTCTGGCGCTCATGTTCTTAAAGTTCATCGACGGCGATGCGTTCTTTGCCGGCTTCTGGGCAAAACATAAGTCGCACAACCTCAGTTGCCAGTGGCCCCAAAACCTGCACTCCTAAACACCCCAAAATTTCGACCCGTTTTCCCATCGGTGTTGTTTCTCCCTTCCGGGGCTCATCGTGTGTGACGGGGGGCCTTTCAAGAAAAATCACCCTTACTAAAAATTGTGCCACCTTTTTTTTGAGGGTTTCTGAGGTTTTGCAACATTGCACCCAGCGCGTCGCTGCCTTCCCAGCAAGCCAAGCAGCAACGTGCAGCTGTACCACCTTGAAAAACTGTGGACTTCGTGTCTTGCTTTGAGATCACCCTTTGTTGAGAAGAAGCACGCCCTCAGCTCTTGACCAAACCATGAGCGAAATGGCACCCTCAAAAACTCAGTTTTTGGCAGGAGTTGGAATCTTGAAAACTTTGCAGACATTGCTGCCACAGCGCTTGAAGCTATTCGCCATCGGCTTCCCAGCCATGCCCGCCCGCCAAGTGTCAGCTGCGAACTCCTCCCCATAAAATCCTCGCACAGGCGCGATGCCGCTGAGAGCATGCTCCATGCTCCAGGCACAGAGGTCGGCCACGAGCTTGTTCGCAGCTTGCTTGACCTTATGTGGGGCATTTGTGGAGAGGAAGGAAATGAAGGAACTTTCAAAACTAGACAGCAAGAACCTTTCAATACTAAACAGCAAGGCTAGCAGGCGGGGCGGTGGTGAGGAAGAGGTGGGGGAACCCGGGAACCCTTCAAAACCCAGCCACGAGACTGGCTCTTCTTGCATGTCTCGTTCGGGGAGGAGCAGAATGGGAAACTTGTAGAGCAAGCAATCAGTCACAAGCCCTGTAGCCCCGAAGGCTGAGCTCATTGAGTAGACAAAGTACTCATCGTCGCGGAACATTTGCGCCCCGTCATAGTGAAACACAACCGGGGCCAGTTTTGAAAAGTCCACGCCTGCCCCTTCCTGGAGGGCTGGGTGCCCCTTCCACGGAGGCAAAGTTTTCACGTGTTCCCAGAACAGCGCCACTTCCTGGGGCCCCATGTTTCCAAACATCACCGACTGAAATACAAGATCAGAGTTAGCAGTTGCCAACGCGTGGTAGATCTCGTGCGGAAGTAGGACGCTTGCTGCCACTCGCTGGCACCGTACCCCGTGAACCTTCAGGGCCAAGACTTGTCACAAGGGATTTTGTCACACTTGCGCGATTATTTCAATCACCCTTTTATCACGAGGGCGCCTGCCAACATGAGTCTTGCCAAAAAAGCGCTGTTTAATTCCAGGCACCCTTTTCGAAGCGAAAGGCTCACACATCTTTTACGACACTTTTTTTGAAATGCCCTTGCAGAAAAGAAACGGCGACCTTGTTTAAACAATGTATTCACATGTCGCTAATTCTCTTTGGGTTTTAGTCGTTCTGACAAAAGCAACCAAACTACACAACAAACAACAAGCGGGCGCAAACTCTTGCAAAACAACTTTGCAAGTTTCACGAGGTTGCCTTCATGTCGAGGTACACCGTGTATGGCTGAAGGCACAAACCAAACAAGTTGCGGAGCCAACGGTGGAGGTCTCTTTCACAATTGGCTTGGCTGTTGCCGAAGGAACCCAAACTTGCTAGTTTTGCGAGGGCTTCGTGTTCGGCCCCATCTTGCAGCACAGACCTTGCAATCTCTGTTGCAGCCGTGATGTCAATCCGGCCGCGCCCTACAAGTTGAAGCAGCTTTTCCACTGCGTGGCTCCACCTCATTTGTTCAATTCGCCGCCCACGCTTGGGTTTCCTGCCGCAGCAGTGTGTGTAAATCAGAAAGCAGTTGAACAATAATAGGTTACGGGGGGCGTCATCACAATAAAACCCCTGTAGTCAAAATGAAAGCGCAATATGATTGAACCCGCTTCTGACAGGTGCGTCACCGTCCTCGTGAAGAGGCTGCTCCGACCTGGCAACGTGCGAGGCCGGCTCCGAAAGCGCAGGGGTGGGCACAACCCTTCAGAAAGCAGTTTGGAATCAACAAGTTTGTGTACCACAGACGCAGAGGCCTTTTAGCCGCCAGCTGCAAGGCCTTTGGCCCCCCAAGTCAATTTCCGGAAAACCTGGATGTCAAAAGCAGTGCTCGCACTGCGCTTGTGCAGCGAAGAAATTGCACTCATTCGCCGCCTTCCTTCTTCTTCCCACTCTTGCCCTTCGGCTTGCCCTGTTTGTCCTTGTTCTTCTTGCCTGCCTTCTTGAGCCCTGCCAGGATGGAGTCAGCTGCTGCCTTGACAGGGAGAGGAGTTGCAAAAAACATGGCGGTGTACTTAATCCTTGTTTTGCAAAGCCAATCGTCTCTCATGGTTTCTCAACAACTGAAGAAGCGAGCCATAACTCTCAGCCCTTGCCTCAGCTGTCGCATACCACTGCGTCTTGCGATCAACAACTTTGAAGACCTTCTCGTAGAACTGCTCGTCCTTCACGCCAGCCGCAGTTGCGGTCTGGAGCTGCTTGTAGACCTTCTCCAGCGATTCAGCGTGCTCCAGCAACTGTGTGGACAACTCTCCAGCATACTCCACGCTGCCCAATGTCATGCTCTTCCTGCGGGCTGATGTGGACTCTGCCAAGAGCTCCGCCATTTTGTCCTCTGCCAGCCTCAGTACGCTCCCCTTTCCAAGCCAGCCCCTTTATAGCGACTAACACACTGCCAATCGCTGCCAAGCCACTGAGGTACGGTCTTTGGCTTGACAAGTTCCGCCTCATCGTCAACCTGCTTTGGCTTCGGTTTCTTCTTCGGCGCGCCCACTTTCTCGTCGCACAAAGCGTCCAGCAGCTGCTTCTGACCGCCAGCAGCAACAACCTCAGGAAGCTGGCCGCCCCTCATCAGGCCCTCGCCCTCGTCTGTCAAGGTCTGCAACATCTCCTCGTTCAAGTCAGCCCTTCCCTCCAGCGTGGCCTTCTCAGATACCCGGTTCTCTTGGTTCACCTCCCGCCCCTTCCTCATGTAGAACCAAGTCTCCTCAGACACGCTTGTGGCAGAGAAGAACAAAAACGGTGGAGCCAAATGCGAAAATAGCACAAAGACTGCCAGGACAGTATGCAAGTTGCCTCGTCGTCACCCGGAAAATCCGCGTCCTCGTAGTACAGCCCAGCCTGCTTCCTGCGCGCTACCAGCGCCGTCCACTTTTCCTGAGTGAGCTGCTGGCGCAGAGTTTTGCCCTGAACGGCATGCCAACCTGAAAGCGAGCTGCTCGACTTCTCCCTCGACCGCTCCATGCGCAGCTCCACCTGCGCCCAAGAACGCCCAGAATCCAGCCAAGCATTGAAGAGCTCCGTCTTCTGCGTGTTCGCATAAGAGCTGAGGCTGCCAGGGAACTTCTTGCTCAAGAGAGCGCGGCTGAAAGCGTCATACTCCCGCTTGCTGTTGACACCTGCTCAAGCGAAACAAGGCCCCCCAAACGCCCGTGACGCCTACATCAAGAAATCAAGAACTAAGCAACAAGGTCTAAAATTGAGCAAGGCTCTGTTCCTCACCAAACTTGTCGATTTCTCAGTGTCTGCGGCCACGACCGCTAGGCTGTTGGTCGCGCTGGCTGAGCTGCCTTCCTTCTCCTTGACTTCCGCCACCTTGGCCGCCGGCTTGTCCACCTCACTCGCCTCGTCGTCGCTCTCCACGGACTCGTCAGGGTCTCCCTCATCCTCTTCTTCTGCCTCTTCCATGTAGGGCTCGCCGTCGAGGTCAAAGGTCTCATCATCGCTGTCACCATCGCTCCCGCCCTCCCCTTGCTCCTCTGACTCCCCCTCCTTCTGCTGAGCAGTGACGTCAGGGTTGTCGTTGCTCTTGCTGCCCTGAACTTTCTGCACCTGCTGAGCCAACTCTGCACCGATGGAGTCCTCGTCGGAGCTTTCGCTTGACCCCGCAGCTGCTGTCGCGGTGCTGCACGCTTGCGCCTTCCTCTTAAGCTGGAGTCGCTTGATCGCAGTCTCATCAGGCTGCCCGGTCTTAGGCAAAGTCTTTTCCTGCGCGCTGCTGCCTGCCGTGATCTTGACCTTGCCCTCGCCCCCCTCCTTGTTTTTCTTGCTCTCCACCTCTTTGTTCTCTGCCTCCTTGCGCGTCTTGCCCGTGCGCTTATCCTTGGACCCTGCAGTTGCCTCAACCTTGTCCGTCTGGCCCTTGAGCTCCTTTCTCTTCTCCTTGGCCTTTTCCTGTGTCTTGCTGTTGCTCTTCTCGTTGTCCGTGTCTTTGTCGCTGTCCTTCGTCTTCTGCTTGCTTTTGCCTAAGTTGTCCTTCTGCTCCGTTGTCTGTTTCTTCTCCTTCTTGTCCTTCTTCTCCTTCTTGTCCTTCTTCTCCTTCTTCTCTGTTGTCTCCTTCTTCTCCGTTGGGGGTTGGCGCTTCTGCTCCACTTTCTCCTTCTTCTTCTCCGTTTTCTCCTTAGCCTCAGTGTTCTGCTTCGTCTCCGTTTTCTCCTTCTGCACAGTTTTCTCCGTCTCCTTGTTGCCCTTCTGTCGCAAAAAAAACAAGGACTCTAGAAACCCATGTTGCACCATTTGCGGATGTCAAGTTCCATTCTGTTTCTTTCAAATAACATGGGTACACATGGGCTCTAAATAAAACAGCACCCCCTCCTGTCCTTGATCTTCTGTTTGTCCCTGGCTGAGCTAGAGCTCTTGGCGGTAGTTGAAGAAGGGCTCACAACAGCGCCAGCGTCAGGCGTTTTCCGGCGCAGCCGCTTCGCTGGCTGCTCGGACATGGGGGTGAAGCAGGCAAGAGTCAAGGGCTGGGCAAGCCAATTTCTTGTCAACAAAAAGGAGTCTCTTGAGAAGCTATTTCAACTGATCAGTGATGCAGAGTAACTGGTGCCATTACCCCTTGAGACTGGTAGGAAGCGCCGGCCGTGCAAATCGCACGAGAGCTTTCCTGGCCACAGACGTTCATGCAGTCAGAAGGTCACCCTAGAAGAAGCAAGTATGCGAGGCCTGCTTGTGACATTCTACAAAGCGCACGTTTTCTCGGCGTTTCGCATCAGACTTCTCGGTTTTTCGCATCAGAGTTAGGCGCCCAAACTGCTGAGAAAAAAATAGAAAATGAAGTTCTAAACAAAGGCGAGCAACCCCCCGCTTGCTAGCCCTCCTGACCACAGCCCTGGTAGGCCGCGCCTGCAGCTGCCTTCAGCCGCAGTCGCCGAGTCATTGCGCAGCCTGGCACGAAGGGGAGGCAGAAGCGACGCCGTTCACATTGCTTTGGTGTTTCTAAGAAGCGCTTCTTGAAACCCTTGACTGCAAACCCTCGCAACCTACAAGCGCCTATTTCCTGAAATTGCGTTTCTGTGAATACAGGCGAGTTTCACAAAGTGTTGAGGTTTAAGCCATTTCACCCCTTCGCCAACAAGTGGCCTAAGATGGCCTGAGCATGCGGGTTTGGAGGACTCCCAGGACACTTGTTAATCCTATCTTCATGACACCCCCAACCCAGATGCTGCGCATTGATTGAAACCCTTTTGGTGGACATGTGTGGAAGCGCCAATGGTCGATGATTGAGTGCGGCACCATTTGCAAAGCGACACTGAAACAATCGCGTGTGCCCTTGCACCCCTTTGCCTACAAACCTGCATGAAGCACAGACTCTTGCGGCTCTTCGCACTTTTGCAAGCCACCCACAAGGCACGAAGGCTGGTTGCAAAAGCTGCCAGGATGCCAAGCCCCGCGAAGACACAGGGCACTCACAATTGGAAACACTCGGGGGTGCAGGTGCCAAGGGGCACATTTTTAAGGGAATGCTTGTTTCGAAGGCAAAGCAAGCTGAGACGACGCAAAGCTCAGCACACCACAGCTCCAAGTAAATGCTCGAATTTGCTTAATTCGTCACTCGGCCTGCGTCCCCCGCATCCCCAGCATTCGCTGCGTGGTGCTTTTTGTCTGCATCATGAGCATCACTTGGAATAGGCGTAGCTGCTACGACGCCGTCAGGTGACGAATTAATTAATTCGTCACTCGGCCTGCGTCCCCCGCATCCCCAGCATTCGCTGCAACGCGGATTGGTGGCTTTGTGTTGCTCTAGTGCTTTTTGTCTGCATCATGAGCATCACTTGGAATAGGCGCGTAGCTGCTATGACAGCGCCGTCAGGTGACGAATTAATTAATTCGTCACTCGGCCTGCATCCCCCGCATCCCCAGCATTCGCTGCAACGCGGATTGGTGGCTTTGTCTTGCTCTAGTGCTTTTTGTCTGCATCATGAGCATCACTTGGAATAGGCGCGTAGCTGCTATGACAGCGCCGTCAGGTGACGAATTAATTAATTCGTCACTCGGCCTGCATCCCCAGCATTTGCTGCAACGCGGATTGGTGGCTTTGTCTCGCTCTAGTGCTTTTTGTCTGCATCATGAGCATCACTTGGAATAGGCGCGTAGCTGCTATTACAGCGCCGTGAGGTGACGAATTAAGCTAATTATTGTTCAAAGCAGGCTTTGACAAGCATTGGAAGCCCTCTAGCCATGAAGCTTTCCAAGCATCACGCCTGATGCACCAAATACTCAAAAACAGAGCTCAGATCTGCGTGTTGCATCCAATGCTCCGTGACGGCCTTCCTTCGGTCAAGCCTCCCCGGAGATGGCCCAGATTTCTTCAACCACTTCTTGGCAGCACGGCGGATATTTTTCTGGTGCCGGGTGCGAAGTCGAGCTAGGGCACGCCCAAACCTTGCGCGCAGTCAACGAAAGGGATTTTGTCGATGACTGTTTCTGCGCCAAAGGGGCAAGAACATAACACTTGAAGCTGACAGCCTCGAACAAATTTCGAAAATAAAACTAAAAACCAGGACAAGGGGCTCTAAGGGGTAGTGCTGAGAAGCCTTGAGATCTTTCCCCCCTTTGCATCTCACGCGACCGCTCCCGTCACGGTACTTGATGGTCATCTCAGGCTGGGCAGCAGAAGACGTGTGCTTTTTCACCTTCTCCTTCTCTTCAACAAGGTCCTCAATCTCTTGGCGACCTCAGGCTGGCTATAGGAAGCTGGGCTGGGCTCAGTGGTTGGAAACGCAGCCTGGGTGGTGGGAAAGCTTTCAGACCGTTGTTGAACTTGACACCCCAACCAAACACAAGCGCCCCCAAAACGGACCCCTTCCCAAGTTAAGCTGGATACCCCCCCCCCCCCCGAAACATAACAAAAAACAAATCCCTCGCAAACCTTAACACCACCCCCCAACTGCCCTCCCCTCCATGAAATGAGTCGCAACTGCCCTCCCTCCCCCTTCCCAAAAAGAATAGAAGAATAGGGTGCAAGAAGTTCACCAACGGGTGCACCTGCAAATCAACCATTGTTCCAGGCGTTACGTCGGCTGTGGAAAAAAACATCTCACACAACTCTTTCACTCTTAAATTCGTCTTTGCAAAACTTGGTCTGTATTCTTCTGAAGAACCTACCCTTAAGGGCGCTTAGGGGTAGGTTCAAAACCAGAGCGCGCGTTCTGTTGATGCAAGCCGCTGCTGTACAATAAAGTGCCCTTTTGAGATCCACCCCCGTAGTCCGACATGTTCACGCGGATCTTGAAGACCGAAATCATGGAGAGCACCCTCTGAAACGAGGGGTGCATCTCCATTATTGAAGAAGCTGGCTGCTCTAAAATCCACCAAATGCATTTGGCCGAAGCCAAAATGGCCAATATAAGGGTTCGAGAGACCATTACATTGTGCTGCCTGACTTTCTCGGAATCGGAGCGCCCCAAAGGTCTGGCTGCGCTACGGAGCGTGGAGCCGCGGCTCCTTAAGCGTTGCCCAAGATAGAAACTTTGGTCACGTTCCTTCTTGGCGGCTTCAACCTAGGCCCCACATAGCATATCAACACATATGAGTTCGTGCTTGGCTGAACGCAACTGTTACGCCAGTCAAGGGGCACCCAAACCCAGGTACTGCATACTGGGGCGTGCAGCGCTCCGCCGCCTGGGCGGGTGCGAAGGGTTTGATACAAAGCGTTCGCGTAGCCCTGGTCAGACAAAATGTCTTGCGACTCTGGGCCCATCGTTATCTCGAACGGGACCGCCAGCCGCCCTGCCTGGCACATCAAGCCAAGGCACTAACGAAAACTAAAGAACAATGTAAGGAAAACAAGCGCTCAGGGTGGTAGGGCTTCAGGGCTGCCTGAAACTGAGGGTAGTGTGGGAAGGCACGTAAGTGTAAGTATGTATCTTTGGAGCCACTTCTTGACCTTTCTTTCAACAAGACAACGCGCACCTGTTGGAAGTTTCACTCCAGCACTTAGGGTTGAAAGACCCCAACACTCCAACAACTGTTAAATCGGTTCAGGTCAAGATTTGACATCAAAGATAGGGCTCAAACTTCGTTTGAGCGAAGTAATTTGTGAGTGGCTACTGCTCTTTGAGTTGTTTGGTAACCCTCAAATCTTAGGTGTAGTGTTGCCCTTGGAGGTTTAAGTGAAAGGTTCTCTGAGGACTACAAGGATTTGAAAACCCTGACCTGAAAGTGCTTTCCCCGATTTGGGGGAAACAACCAGTCAACCCCAGCCTCAACTTCGCCTTTGCTGACACTGCATTTGCCCGCGAAGGTTTCCAAGTGGTCTATGGGCGTCCAGCTCAAGCCGTTGCAGTTGAACACCATCGTCGCCAACAAGGCCACAACCTGGGCGTTTCATGCGGTGGGAGAGGGGCCTCAGCCAAAGGCAGCAAGCACTATTTTTCAATTCTTGGGTCAGCCAGTTTGAAGCCATGCGTTGCAATAGGGTTGGGGCACCACCAAGTTGCTGCCAATCTGCATTTGTTGGGTTGACATATGTTCAAGGTCTAAACATGATCTTGGCACTGAGTTTTGTCGAGGAGCAAAAGGTGCGCCCATCCGCTTGAGGCCACGGAGGACTGCCCACTGGTGCTTTGATTTCCATGAGCGACCAGGGCCCAACTCCGCACGCTTTGCGCGAAACGGCATGCCTTTTGCTGCCCAAAGCAGCTCCGATTTCCGCATGGCCAACTAAGACTCACAAAGCCAGTGTTGAGCTCCAAACAGCTTGTAAGAGATAAATCCAGCAGCTTAGTGACACTGGCGCACTGAGAGAGGTCAGCCCCAAACACGCTGGCCGCGCCTAGTAGGGTGAGGCTGCAGAGCTGTTGTAGACCTGGCAGGATAGGTTGCAGATTGGCAGTCATCAGGCCACCATTTGTTTGGAAGGATTACCCAACATGGGCCAAACTTGGACGTCGCACCACGACCGGCAGGACTGCTGCAGCCTGGCCTGCAGCAGCGAGGATAAGGAGGTCGAGCGAAGAGAGGCAGGTCCTGGCAGAAAATGTTCGGTTTGGGCCCGCTGTTTCAAGATACAAATTGTATCAATTGTAAGCCAGTCCTCGCCGTGAGCTTCTTGTCAAGCGAAGCGAAGACCTCGCACTGTACCTGCGCTGATGAAAGGCTTTCAGTACAAGGTCACAGTTATTAAGGGTTGCTGCGACAAGTCGGCTGCACGCGGAGCACGTTTTCCCCGACCAGCTCCCAACAGTTTGCTCCCCCGTTGGTGTTCTAGGACACAGTGCGCCCTCGTTGGCCCACTGTCTCGGCACCAACGCAAACCTAAAGAAGCCGCAGTGGGGGTTTCAACGCTACGGTAAATGAGAGAGCCCGCTTGCGAGAAATTCGGCTCAAGGGTCCCTTGCAAGAGATTCAGCACAAGGATCTGCTAACTAGAGCCATACTCAAGGTGGGAAGAAACCAAACAACTCCACAATTTCAAGGCCGAATTAAACTTATGCGA